CCCCGCCGCGCCATGCAGGTGGGTTAGGGGGAGAGAGGGCGGGGGGGCGGCCGCGCACGCGGGCCCTGCGCGGCAGCGGCTGCCGCCTGACGGGACTGACTTCTCCTTGCAGACCTTCCTGAAGTGGCTGCTGGGGGTCCTGGGGGTCGCCGTCGTCGTCACGGTCATCGCCGTGCCCCTGGCTCTGCTCACCGGCGGTGAGTCCGCGGCGGGGCCGGGGGGACCCGCAGCCGCGAAGCCCACTGCTGGGGGGGGGAAGTTTTGCTGAAAGTTGAGTGCTTCGGGGAACGGGGTCGATAGAGCTGGAGGTCCTGGGAAGCTGGGAGGCACTTCGTCAAGAAGGTGTCTCACCTGGGAGGATGGGGGGCCGGGGGGGCGTGCGCGCGTAGAAAGTCCCTTGATTACCGTGTGAGCTGAGAAAGTATTATTAGTTATAGGCATTATCGTTTTCAGCATTTTCCTTTCCTATTGCAGCTGCAGGCTGTAGAACCAGCAGTAAAATGCCAGTTAGTCAATTTTCCTGGGGTGCATTGAAGAGATAAGATTATATTCCCTCTAATTTGCTTTGTTTGCACAACTTTTGCTGACATAATTGAGTGAAATTATATGCACAGCACAGTTACAGAGGTCAGAAAAGTAGGAAGAGATCTGGAATGCGGTTTTGGACTCTGATCGGTTTGTACTTTCTGGGTCGTCCTTGTAGCTCTGGATGTTAATGTGAAACAGCATGGAATCCTAATCAAGCAAAGCATTGCTTCCAGCTGGTAGGGCAGAGCTGCAGGTTAATCACTCTTTTTGTGTTCTTACGGTTAACAGCCGAGCAGTTGTGATACCTAGAATTCAGCACTGCAAACTCTAAGGAAACAAAGTGTTTTTTCTAGACTAGAGCTTTGTCTAGACTCGTGAGGCGCACCCCAAGAAGTGTGAAAATGTGTATGTTGATCTTGACAGCATGTTCAGAAATGAACACAGCAATTGCTTATGTGCACAGAAAGTTCTGGTGGTTTTTTTGTATGTCAGTTAAAGGGGCAAAGCTTGTGTCACTAGTGTTCAAGTGGCATAATTTATGTTAAACTTTTTTGCAATTCAGCTCTGTCATTATTAATATCACAATCATTAAAAACTAGATTTTCAAAGTCCAGATATCTGAATGACATATCTTCTGGGTTAAAACTTGCATCAGTGGATGCTGCCTCGCTTTTCTGTTATTTTGGGGCAACTTCTTGCCACTTATCTCAAAAAAGCAGATTTGGGGGGTGACAGAAAATACTCTTAGTTTCAGAAGTTGGGAAGAGCAGGAGAAAGGGTCATGATAACGTATCAGATGCATGTGTGCAGGCATAACACCTAGTGAAAGAATTCAGTATGCGGGCCTGAACTCTGCTGAAGAGTTGGTGCTTTTCTGCCTTAATGCTGCTGCTACATCTTACTGAAAATCAGATGGGTTTTCTTCTTTCATAAATTGTAGCATATAAATCCTTTTGCTGTAGAAGTGGCTGCAATTCAGAATCAGTCATTGAGTTATATAGTAAATAGATTTTACTTTAAAGAGGCACTTCTGTTAAATGACATACAGAATACCACCATGCTGTCAGCCTTGGCTTGCGTCATGTTGGTTGTAAAAGGGTAGGGCAATGCGTCACTCTTTTTACTGTTGGCTCAAATTAATGTGTGAGAAATTACCTAGCACGCCCAGGTAGTTCACTAGGCCTCTCTGGATAAAATAAGGATTGAGATGAAGAGGTGCCAGTTCAAAAACTTGAATTCCTATCTGTTCCCACATCAGGCCAGCAGTAACATCTGAATAACAACTGTGACCATTACAGTTCTGGAACTGCAGAGTGCTTTTGAATTTTTGACTGAAGGGTGCTAAAGAAATGTTTTCTCTTAGCTGAGAGTATACAGGTGGTGCACTTGTAATTACTCCTTTATAGGTGAGACCACTTAATCACTGACGGTTTGATTATATGACTTTCATGAAGGGGCATCCAGGTCAGCTGAGGATGCCTCCTGGGTCAGTCAGTACAGGTGCTGGCCTGAGTACAAAATGAAAGGTGGCAAAATTGAGGGGTGGTGGGGAGCAGTTCACATGACTGTGACTATGTGAAATCATAGTCTGCTCGGAAAAAAGTCATTGTAATTGCAATCAAGTCTTTATTTCATGCCAGTGGTTCAAGCATTGTGCAGGGAGTGAAAATGATGATTATTGATAGACACAGATAATTTTGAGTTTGGATTTCTTACCTTTGGCCTGCTGTTCTTCTCCCCTCCATGCTTCTCAATGTACTTTAATTTCTTAAGCTTAGTAGTCATGCAGCACAGAATTAGTTTGATAAATGGGCTTCAGTGCTGGGAAAGGTTGTGAAATTTTGCCACTCCAGAGGAGGTCTGGCCTGTTGGCTGGACTGTAGGCCTGGCAAGTGGAACTTCTGCTTTTTCTTTTGCAGCTGTTTAGCACGGGCAAATGCTGCAGACTTAAATTTGCAAAAGGGTTCCCTAATTTTGGGTGCAGCTCTTCACTATTTACCTTGAGGGTCTTCAGCCAGAACTGTGTACAAAATTCTATATTTTTTGTTTATAGCCACTGCCTATTTTGCTACCTTATTTTACATTTAATAACTACATGGGACTACTTGCATCAGACAGTTTAATGTCAAAACAGTCTTGGGGCTTGTATTTGAAGTCTGTTGGTGAAAGCATTGTTATGCTTAGAGGAGCTAATCAAGAGGTGACTACAGTAGCAAGTGGTTACCCTTAAAGCATGAGTATTTTCCAAAAAACTGTGGTCTGTCCATGATTCACTTCCCCATTTACTTTTGCTTCTCCCATTTTTTTTCTCCTGTAACTTTCTGTGCAAAAGGCAGATTGAAACATCCAGTGGCCATACACCTTTACCTCTCCTCTAATAGCAGTTCTTGTTAGGGCCAGCTGGGCAGGAAGGCCAGGAGCGAGAGGAAGAGTAGCCAATGCTGAGAGCAGGAAGGAGACAGTGCAGTACCTAGTATCATTCTGCTGCCATGAGCAAGTCATAAGCAGCCTTATAGTGGGGGGTCCTATACAACTGTCTGGTCACAAACCAGATTCCTTTGCCCAGAGGTCTAATTCTCCAAGAGTGAGATAGTCACTAAATGAGAAGGCTCATCACTGTCATGATTACATGATACTATGTGTGGGCCTCTGTGGTCTTTTGATAGAAATGTGCCTGGAAGAGGTGGGAAAAGCACAGCAAGAGCTGGGGAAGTTAATGACCTTAAGGTGCCTGAGGGTACTCTGTGAGTCTGATGCCTAACTGATCTATTGGGTATTACCAGTGGCTGGTAGAAAGCTACTATAAATACAGATAAGAGTTACTGGCAGCAGGAATCCATAAGTTCAGGTTGTCATCCTGGATTTGAAGTTGGCGAATGTTGGGACTGCTGAGACAGCTTTGTGCTTCAAGGACTCAAGAGAGGTGAGGTTGCAGATCTTCCTCACAGCCACGTTAATGTATAACTGAAAAGGAATAAAAGTCTCTGAAAGGCTGTCATCATTGTTCTGTTGGGGATGGTCCTATCTGCAGTCTTCCCTTGTTTATCCTCTCTGCATTCTGTCCTGAACTAAGCAAATTTGTGACTGGGTGGTGTGGAGGAGTATCTATTGCCAATGTCAACACCCTGCTTGCAACTGAACAGTATGTTTAAAATACAGAGAGGCTTCTGGCTGATAAACAACCATCATATTGGAAGACCTGTGCCATAAGATGAATGAATCTGGCAGCTGTCATCTGTCACGGTTTTCTTGGGATTAAGGGGTCCTGTATTATTCCAGTCTCTGAAAGGCATTAGGTTTAAGGGTGTTTAGGGAGAAAGCTAGAAAATCTGTAAGGGAATTTAAATCTATGGATCAGAAATTGATCTTTGAAGTAGAACCTCTTTGAATCTATATTCAAAAATTAAGGTTTAGATAAGAATCTTGACTCTGTGTGGGGTTATTTTTGGAGAACTGTCACATAAATGGTGAGCAGCAGTTAATTCCAGTAACCTAGCTTTGAAGGACTTCGAAATCATGGCTGAAATTCTCTCCAAAGTTGTGTTGGAGATACAGTAGGTTAATTGCCTTGTTGTGAGTATGCTGTAGACTTGTCTGACCAAACAGTCTTTTGGCTTGAATCAAACTGTTCTAACTATTCTCTTTTCCCCATGTATTCATGCACCTTGCACTGCATTACAGGATCCTTGTAGTCTTCATGTTATGTGTGGGTATATTACTTTTTGAGCTAGTGAAGGAAAAGATAGCAAATGGAAGTGTTTTCCTGCTATATGTCCTTGACTTCTGTAACTGTCATTTAACTCGTTTATTTACCTTAATACAAATGTTGAGTAATGTAATACAAAAAAATTTACCAGCAGTGGATTCCTATCTGTAGAACACTTCCAGTGTTTTTATTTCCTTGCTTTGCATAAGATAGGGAAAATTTAAGAGGGACTCTAGAGCTATTGATTACAAAGTTAATGATTACCTCCGTCTGGGGAGATCTCTGCAGCCCCAGAGAGTGATACCTGGGTGAGCTGCCCTGGGAGGTGTCGCGGTGCTCACCCATTGGTTATGGTCTCTCCTGGATACCCAGTGGCCGATACTGGGTATCAGGTGGGATTCTGGGTTAGGTGAACCTTTGGCCTCACCCAGCACAGTAATTTTTTACTTTCTTCTTTGCTGGAAATCCATTTCTGTGCTCTAATTGTCACATCTCAGGCACTAACTGGGGGCTTGAGTGTAGGGGGGAAGGTTTTTGAGTGCTTTTTTATGCACGTTGGAAGAGAAACGGGAAGAAGGTTTGGAAAAAATAGCCTGAAATGTCACTTACTTTTCTGACTAACAACTGAATCAGTCAGATTTCCCTTCTTGCATCTCTCACGCTGCTCCTAAATTACATTCTTAGATTGCAGATCATTCTTGCTCTTGTTCTGCTGTCACTTAAAAAGGGTGATACTCATTCACCTTTTCTGATTTTTATCGTTTCTCTATCCCTTTCTTTCTCATTACTGCTGAGCATCATGCTTGTACTTGTCTTTCCGTTGCTGTGGTTCTTCCAGTCTCTCTGGGTAGTGGTGAAGATGCAGCAAAGGTTCTGTTATTACTGTTTTTATAGTTTTCCATCACTTTAAATTGGCTACATAATTTCTTGCTCTTTTTTATTATGTGTGGAAATTAGTAAAATGTGCCTTGACACTGGGGAATAAACAATACGTATACCAAAAGTAATTTGTCAACATCTTTAGGTTTTGGTATGGTGATTTGTCATACCATAAACCTTACACAATAGTTAACATCTTGTTTACTTTACACCTTACACCTACAGAAACTGACTGAATTTTTCTCTTGAGAAAGAGTAACATATTAAAAAAAAAAATTCAAAATTGAAACAAAACTGTTTGTCAACTTCATATGAGTACTACTTATATAAAAGGTTAAGAGCCTTCTCCCCAGAAAGACCTACATATGTTTTTGCTGTTGTAACAGGGATATTATAATGTAAATATTTCCAGCATATCATTATGACAGTGGAAATACATATATGCTGTTGGGGGTGAGAATAGGGTAGAGATGAAGAGCTAGTCATTTGGAATTTAGAAAAATAAGTCTGTCTCTGGAATAGTCAAAAAAGAAAAATAGCAAGAAAATTCAGCCTTCACAGCCTCTCTGAGGAACCTAAGAGTGAAAGAAGCTGTTTTGCTAAAATATGAACATACATTGACCTGTATCCAATCTTCAAAGCCAGTAAAATGCTCTTGAATGTCAGCTACTTTATTTTGCAAAATAAACATGTTTGACACTTTTTTCAAATGGAATCTGAACAAGAACCAAAATGCAGAATTCAATGTATCTTGAGTATCTTTGGTCGGTGGCATAGTGTGGTTGAGTAAGAATATACTGGTAGTGGCCTGTCTCACAAATTAAGAAAATACTTCAACTGGGACTTTTATGGCTATACCCTTACAGCCTGGCGTATGTTTTCATATTCAGTTACTATGTGGAAGGTGTTGACAGAAAATGAAATTTTAATTTTATACACAGCCAACAAATCTTAATAGTGGCCTGATTTTTAGTAATGAGACCTCAGCAAAATATGTATGTCACCAGGGGGAAAAACATTCATCAGTTTGGAAAAATCCCTAAACCTGTTCATCAGCCACCTGTCTTAAATTGCTCCTCCTTTTCCAAGAGAGAATTTTGTTGCTTTCTGAAGCCCCTCTAATTGAAAATGACACTTACTCAGTTAGGAAGGAGAGAAGTGATATTTCCAACTAGACAACTGTGCATGAATATCAAATGCACACTTGTTCATAATCCATCAAATTAAATATTCAGTTAATATAGAATAATTAACCTGAGGAATTAATATTCTCATGGAAACTTAATGAGCAAGAAATCTAGACTAGTAATTTTTTAGAGCGGTCAAATTTCAGGCAGAATTGAGCAAGCAATATTTTAACATTTGCTGAGCATCTTAGACTGAAATAATTGTTTGTTATGGCTCTTGACTTTTATTGCAGCAATGGCTGTACAGTCTGTGCTGTGTACATGCAATGTGCTTATTGTTTGGAAATAAGAGTAAAACTGTGATAGCTAATATAAGTATCTTCTTGCTGTGTTCCAGACGTCTCGTGTATTTAACCTGAAGAAAAATAACCTGAAAAAATTATTGTGAGATGTTATTATGTGGGTGTGTCCCCAAGGACTTTGCACTCTTTTTCTTCAGCATAATGAAAGAAGAGGCTGTCTGTTTAAAAGTATCTGAAAGACTGGGCCTCTGAGAATTGACAGGGCCAGGTTATTATCTTGGTTGATCAGTCACCACGTCTGTACTTGAGTGTTTTTATCAACTGTTTTTATCCTAGGTCTTTTGATTTGCACTGGTAGTAACAAAAAAGAAATTATTTAGCCAGATGAATAAAAAATTGTTTCCCTTCTGGCCTGTGTAGATTTGTATGAGGATAGTTTTTTTGTTTTCATTAAAAAAAAAAAGGATGGGGAGGAAGCAGGGAGAGAATCACATACCTGAATTTAAAAGTTGTAGTCTTTGTTTTCAGAGGAAAAGATCACGAAGACTCACAAGCAGATGATGTTATTATGATTATGATGATGATTAGTATTATTATTATTACCACCTTTCAGACTTTGGAAAGAGTAGCTTGTGCACTGCAGCCAGTAAGAAAGAAATATTTTTCATAGAAATTGACCACAGTGTGCTGGAGCTGATGACCAAACTCATTAGTTTAACTGAGTTCAAAGTTTCACTTAGTCTTTTCATAGTAATTGAGTACTTGGCTTTAATTTTGCAGTCAAAATAGTAATGTTGCAGTAAACATTAAGATACCTTGGTGAAAAACACATCAAGAGAGAGATAAATATTTAACCAGTTATTTCATCATAAGCTTATCAGTAAGCGTTTGGGGTTTGTGGTTTTTGTCGGTGTGTTGTGGTTTTTTGTTTGTTTGTTTGTTTTTTGTTGTTTTTTTTTTTAGATCAGACCTTCCCTGAAAATTTTACTGCTCCTCAGATTTTTTGAGACATTTCTGAAATTTGAGTTTAATGATAAGCAGATGATTCCCAGTTGAAGGGTTCATGAACAGGAACAGCAGTATTATGGAATATGTAGTAAAGTACAGCAGCTGCTTTAATTTTAGGGTATCTTTCAAGATCTGTACATCTATTCACATGGATGCCTCATTTCATTCATCTGGACAGCCTTGGCTGTCCAGCGCTCTCAAACATGAGCATGTACGTCTCTGCTTTGCCTGATCCACCCCACAATTGATGTCTGATGTAAATACTAGCAGTCAGGGCTCTGCAGTGAAGTTCCCAGAGTGAGCCTAGGGGGGGAAGGCACTAAGATCGCTTTTCAATTTTCGAGGAGTACACATATGCGTTTCCTGAGATAAGAGTGCCAGCGGTCTTCTGTTTATTTTTTGTCACTTTTGTCACAAGGTATTTTCATTTACTCAAAAGGTAACAGCTGTTGTGTACCTTAAAGTAAAATAGCAGCAGAGAAAAGGCATCTATAATTTTTACATGAGTTTGTTGAGAGATCTCACTGATACCCCTTTATTTTATGCTTGCTGAATTTATCTTGCAGTAAAGCTATAGTGCCTTCCCACTACTAGTACTTTAGAGCTGGTTAGCTAAAACACATCAATAACCAGCAACAAAAACCCACTTATTTTAGTAGTTAGGTTAAGGAGCTGGGGTGGAACAATTTGCAGTCACATCAAAATCTCTCTTCTGTCTCTTTCTTTCAGAAAGTACCTCTGAGCCTGATTCACGAAGAACATACACTCTACAGAATTACTTGAACAATGACTATAAGCCCAGGACACATAATTTGCAGTGGATTTCAGGTAATTAACTTCTACGTACAAAATTAATGTCAAGAAAATATGGTACCTTCAGTAAACATGTATCTTCATGCTGAGGTGACTATTGTATCCTGAAAAAAAGTTAAATTATTTAATCGTGCCATTATAGAAAGGTGCGTAACTCAAAGAGTTGTGATTTTGTTGTGGGGGGTTTTTTTCCCCTTAGATACATGTTTGCATTCATGGCAAGCTATATTCTCCCACTGCTAAAAGAGCATACTTACTTCTATGCTTTTTTGTAGAAGCATGTTATCCTCTGAAGTGTGCCAGCTTCCTGTGCATCAGGCTATCAGGGAACAGGAGGATACAGGGCGCTTTTCCTTTTGAATATGCCTAGTGCCCCAAGGGAAAGAGATGCCAGAAGGCGGTGGCTGTGAGTTCACTACTTCGTGAATGTTCTTGTGCTATAAGCATCCTTTCATTACAGAAGTGGCAAACACAACATGGACCAGATTTTTTAATTTTACTTCGTGCTTAAAAACATGAGGGGGAAAAAGTAGTGACTGATGAGCATTTTACTTATTGTTTATTAGCATCTCTCTTGTTCTTCTAGGAAATCAGTATCTTCACAAAACAGCTGATGGGAACATCCTACGTATCAATGCCGACACCGGAACATCCTCAGTAATCTTGTCAAATACAACATTAGTACGTTGACTTATGTATAATATATGCAGATGTTGGGAAAGTTATTGAATTTAACACTTTGTTCTGTGCATTTCTTTGGAATCAGTGCTTAATGTGCTCCCTTTGCCTTTTGTTGACAGGCTGAATACAAGGCAACCACAGTTACATTGTCTCCTGATCAAATGTTTGCTCTTCTGCAGTACAACTATACAAAGGTACAAGTGCACTTTACTTCTCTGAGGATGAAACTGGGAAATAAAGGTTTGGGAACAACTGAGAGGCTGAGAGAATGTGAGGGAAATGCAGAAGGATGGATGGATGAATGAGGTGGATGTCTCTAGGGGAACAGTGAAGTTGAGCAGGCAGGAGGAGGAGAAGAGAGACTGGTACTGTCTGTGAGCTTGGCAGAAGAGATATGACTGCCTGAGAAAAGAAGCTGGATTAAAAAGTGGATGGAGAGATATCACAAGGAGAGTGAGGCTGGATGGTTCATCTGAGAAGACAAGCTAGGAGAGTAGATAGGCATGACTGCCCAAGGAGTTGTGTGGGTAAGGAGAAGTGATAAGTAGATATGGTTGTATACATACGCTTGTACTTATATGCTGTGAATATATAGGGTTGTTACAGTGTGGTGTTAGGACATAAGAATTTAAAACTGAGGTGTATGAAAAGCAGCATGTGCATATAAAAGACGACTGTCCTCTTGTGCTTGGAGTGGACTTGGGTGTCATTGTCCCCTACTGTCAGCAAGCACATGAAAAACCTCCAGCATAATGGCTCATCCTGGCCTGGTGCTGAACCATGCAACAAAGGTCAACCTGCATTTATGCCAAGTGGCATGAAAACCTGACTCTGTGTGCCAATTGAGGACAGTTACAGAAACCTAATGGAGGTGATAATTTGCCTTACGGCGTGTGCGTCTAGAAGCCAGTAACTTTGTTTTCCTTTTTTTTTTCTAGTGAGCTGCCTGTTTTGGTTGTAAAAAGCTCAGTGCTGACTTGTGCAATGTACTAATGCTCGAGCACTGTGTCACTGACTTCTGTCTATGTGTTCTGGCTTTGCAGTCCAAGAATGCCTCTCACACTGTGCCAGCCACAATCCGTGCACTCAGTCATCACTTTTTTTTCAATTTTAGCTTTCTTGCTAGGTACTAAGCCAGTTAAGTTTTGTCTTTCTGAATTGTTCAGAATTGTTTGACTTTTCACTGCATCATTAGTGGCCACAAAATGCCTCATGTTTTTCTAGCCACCTTAGAGATCCCCTCTACTCGTGATTTATTGCTCTATAGTATTTTTGTTTGTTGTAGTCATTAGAGTTAACTTTATTTTAATGCTGAAGCAAGATCTTTTAACCTTTATATAATAGTGTGATTGAAAGTTATGTTATTATTAATCTTCATTGCAAGAAAACAGAGTAACAAAATGAATCATGAGGATGTAGACACTTCTTATGTAATAGCCATCTGGTTGTGTAGTACTAAGTTATTGTTTTATATCTTCGTACAAATCTTCAAGAACCATCATAGAAGGTAGCTTTATTGTGGCATGTCAACACCGTGGGCTAAATCAAACCTCTTCAGCCCCACGTAGTGAGCACTTTTAAATGTATCTGCATTATCATCGTCATCTTTCTCTCTGTCAGTGCCCACAGAGTGATACAGACTTCAAGAGGCAGGTTTCTGACAGAAAGTCTTTATTTCTGTGGCAATATGAATGGGAATAGGTCACCCTGGAACTGGAGGAACTGCTACAGAAATACTGCTGGGGCTTGTGAGGACTACTAAACAATAAGATGCCAAGTTAAATAACATAGCATGGAAAATGAGACAGAAAACGGCAAGTGCGCCAGTAAGGCAGAAGGAGGAGAATTAACTGTGCATAGCTACGATAGTCTGCCATGTAGCTACAAGGATATTTGAAAATCTGCAACATCTCTGGCCTCTGTATCTCTGTCCTTAATCAGTCAGTGGCCTCTGTCATAGTATTTAAGCGATGATCCCAGAGGGGTGGCAATTCTTTAGTCTTTTCTTAAACCTTGCAGAGATTTGTTACCCTTGTACACTTATTGTGTTCTGTCTGTGTTAAGCAAAACCGTGAGGAGGGTTTCCGAGGTAATTCGAACTGTAAGAGATGTGAATCCTGGTGAAATTTATTTTCTTAATATTAAAATAATTCTTTTGCAGTTGTGGAGGCATTCCTATACAGCTTCATATCACATCTATGATTTCAATAGCAGGTCAGTAATTTTTGCACGAGACGTAGTTTTAACATTATTTTGCAATGAAATGACATTTCACTGATTTCTCTTAGCTGCATTTTGTTTTTGTTTTTTCCAGTTCTATCTTAGATGGCAAACTACTACCTAATGATATACAATATATATCCTGGTCACCTGTTGGTCACAAACTGGTTAGTAAAGATAAGTGAAACTTATATAAACAGTTGGGTTTGTACATATGACATGGAAGCTCACATTGTCTGTACCCTTGAGGTTTTGGGACTTTCCTACTGCTAGATAAAGTAGCTGAATTAGTTTCCAAATTGACTACTGTTGCTGGAAAGACTCCAAAATCCCTCTGTGTGTTTTGTTATTTAATGAAAATGCATTCCTCAAAGTAGTAGTGGCCCCAGTAGTCATGCAATGCACAAATGCACAGGAACTTCATGTTTTTACAGTTGCAGAAAGTAGCTCATCGCTTTCAAAAGCAGCAGCATTACAATTGTCTACTTAATCATCACTGTGATTCTTATCTCCTAATTATACCATAATCAGTGAAGTTTTATTTGATGGATGCATGTAGCAGGGATTAGAGGTTCAAAATCTCTCTTGTGTTCTTTCCCACTGTCCTTTTCTTCCTCTTCCTCCTCCCCAATCCATGGCAATGGTGACAGCCACTGTGTCTGCAAGGCTTGTGCATTCCCTATGGTGAGCATTGGATATGACTAAAGAGCTATCACAGGAGAATGTGGTGTTTATTCTTATTGCTTGTAGTATAGGGATTATAGAGCCCAACCACAGAAGCAAAGGATGTTGAAAAGAGCTTTCTGCATATCAGAGCAAAGCTCTGGAATAAAACAGTGTTGTTCAGTTGTTGCAGAGGAAAAATGGGGGTGATTAGAGAGTCAGGCAGGTGCCAAAAACTAGAAGAGTTCTGAGCACTACTGAAGTAATGCACCATCTTTGCAGATCTGTTGGCAATGCTGAGACCCCCATCAATGTTTTACCAAAGTACTGGTAGTTTTCTGTGAAAGACAAATTAGTGAAAACAATTCCTACTGAAGATAAGTTCGTATCTCAACAGAAAATGTATCAAGTTTTGAAAACCTTGCTATTCAGTAATCATGTCATTTATCATAGCTGACTGTTTTTTGCATCTAGGCCTGAAGTTAGGTTGCTACACATGATTTGTATTAGTAATTCAAGTTTGTTAAGTATCAATGATGTTTGGTGAAATGCAGCTTTCAAAGACAGTAATTGTCATCTGATGTAAATTTCCCAGTAGATGATGCAAAGGAAGGAAGTAGGATTTACTCTAATAGTGATTTTTATCACAATGTTTTGCAGGCGTATGTTTGGAATAATAATGTTTATATAAAAGCTTCACCAACAGCAGAACCTGTGCAAATCACTGAAAATGGAGTAGAAAATAAAATTTTCAATGGAATACCAGACTGGGTTTATGAAGGTAACTATGTCAAGCATATTTTACTTTGCATTATGATGTAAAAACTTTTGTTTTACTGTAATTATTTTATTATAACTTATCTCATTTCTTATCATTGGAAAATTCAAAATAATCTAAGTCTGTATTTTAACGGAAGCCTGTATCCTTACCTGAGCTTAATACCTGGCTAGTGTGAGGATCTAAGAATGGAAATGAGTTCACCTAATTTGCAGAGCATCCCTGGAAATCATGATGTGTGAATTAGCTTCATATGATAGATTATAAGCATTGATCTAATGTCTCATTTCAGAACCCCAACAAACAGTCTGCACTTTGGTATCTGAACTTAAAATTAAAAAAAAATCCCACCTATTAAAAACTAATGAGAATAGTGCCTAGGATAGAAGAGCCAACTTATCAGTTTTAACTTAAATTGAGTTTGCATCTCTTTCAGAGGAAATGTTTGGCACCCATTCTGCTCTCTGGTGGTCTCCAAATGGCAATTTTGTGGCATATGCAGCATTTAATGATACAGAAGTTCCTGTTATAGAGTATTCCTTTTATTCTGAGGACACCTTGCAGTATCCAAAGACCATTAGAATCCCATATCCCAAGGTCTGTGTTACTTACTAAACATCGTTGTTCTGCATTTTCATTAAGAGAGTAGTCTTATTTAATCAGTTTCTGGTAATGAAAATATTGTCTGTCTCTCCTCAACAGCTTGCTGTGATTACTCTTTTCTGAAGTCAACAGCATCTGGCAATGTTAAAGTATTTTATTATCTCCAGGGAAAAGCAAAGAGCAAAAAAAAAAAACCTATGATTGAAGGTTTTGTTGTTTCACCAGAAAATTTTGAGGTAGCAAGTAGATGTTGAGATAAAAAAAGCTCTTAGGGAATTGAAGTTGTACATCTGCCAAATGCTTTGTACCATTGTGTTAGCGTTGTGCATGGTGTTGATAATGGAATCTTCTTCAAATAATGTAGCATTTTTAGTTGTTGGATGCTTCCTATATTGGGATGAAGGGGAGGAATCTGCTGATGGAGTTTCTTTGCCCACACGTAAAGTTCTTAGCTGTGAGAGTGAAGCCTTTATTGCATGCAGCTCCTTCTCCTCCCCCTTCCTCTCCACGTGACTTTGTGCCCACTGCTTGTAGCACAGTTGGGACTGGACTAAATGGTGTGAGAGTCAGAGTCCAATACGCTCCAAACAGGTTCTTTCAGATACTGCACATGTGGAGGGCTTTGTGTTTAATACAGATTTAGCTGTGTGAAGTTATTTGACATTACATGGGATTTTGATTTAGCAGAGCGATGCGGCAATGCACTTAAGACACGATACAAGTTACACTTAGAATACAATTGCACTATACTGCTGAATCGCAATACAAACATGGTTCTCAATGCCGATTTCCATAATATGCTTGCTGCCACAATGCTAGGCTTCCCCACTGCTGGGAAGGAATACATGAGTTGAAAGCATCTCAAGGCCATCACTTTCTTCAGTTCTTTTTGTTCATCATTTGGTTTTTATGCTCTGTGTTGGGCTGAGGCACCTATATATCCCCCCTGCAACACTGGTCTGACCAGCTCAGGAGGGTATTTTCACTCTTGATTAATGGGGGCAGAACAGCTGATACAGCCGACTGATCACTCAACTGATGATAACTGTCTGGTGGAAAAGCCGCCCTCTGGTCCTCTTTGTGTCGAGTTCAGCTTTCTGTGCAGCAGCCGTGGTCAATCACTCGCTACCCTTCCCAAGCTTCAGGAGCGCATGGCCTTTGCTCGTCCCCTTGCAGCCTCCTCCAGAGGGGTCACTGATGCTCACAGCTGGGCTCATGGACAGCTGCAGGTGCCCTGGCCTGAGCATGGTGCTTGGGAAGAGACCTAGGTGTGCAATGAACTGCCAATTTAAATTGCACCTTTTATTATAAACCCCACTTGTTTGGAATATTGCTGACTTCTCGAGGTGGGTCAACTACAGCTACCTAACCATTACAGTGAGGACTTGGCTCGTTAACTTCTAGAGAAGAAGCTCTTACTGACACAGTTACATTGCTGTCGGTAGCACTACATTAAAAGTAGTGGGGTGTGTGCTGCAGTCACATCTTTGATTGTGGTATGGGCAGCTGTTATATGATCACTTAATGTGAAGTATCAGTTTTCATAAAGAAGCACTTTTCTGTCTGTTAGCAATGGATTTGATTCACTGTTAGGTACTGCGTGTAGCATGTAGGACAAGATATGGTCAAATACTGCTTTGGGTACAGCAAGCCCTGCGTAGTTATGAATGTTTCCAAATGTAGTAGTCTTTCTTAGGTAGAAACACATAACTAACACTTTCATATAAAAAATACAAAGGATAATTTATGTATCGATCTTAAGAACTGCATTTAGGAACTTGTCTTTTCACATGTTTGAAGTTGGCTGGTTCTACCTGACTGTAGTAATTTCTTCGTCTATAGTTTCAAATGCTTATTTCACCAAGAATATTCTCTCTTCAAAAGTACAATGAAAACTTCTATTTTTAGGCAGGAGCTAAAAATCCAACTGTGCAGCTCTTTATTGTGGATACCAAATTGCTTCCTCATTTCCGCCCTGCTGAAATTTCTCCACCTGCAGAAATAAAATCAGGGTAAGAAATTTTGGTTAAATGTTTGCTTGTTTCTTTTGGTGGGAGAGGAGGAACTTTTATGTGTGACCACCCTATATTCAGTGTATATGGCAGTTTTTCCTAGTTATGCAGCTCTGGTAGCAACAAGATTTACCAGAGAAAATCTGCACAGAGATTATCCTCCTAGTGATTATATATAGATGGCATATTCCATGTATGTTATATTCAGAATGTGACAAGTTCTTGGCTCATCACATTCAGTGGAGTCTAACTATGGTGAAGTCATTTCACAGTACAACTTTAATATGAGCAAGTTTTGGTATAATCAAATTATAATATATGTATTCCAATTCACTGGAGGCGGGGGAGGGAACAAAACAAAACCTCAATGGTAAGTGAAGATTTGATTTCATTGGAAGCAGACTCCTTGCTAAGGCAAGGTATCATGGTTGTCTTCAGATTTATACTTAAAATGTTTGTTTTCTTTGGAAACATGGTGAAAAACAGCACCTCTCACAGTAAATGGAAAATTGTATTTCTCAAAATGCCACTGGAAGTGCACAACATGATATAAATGTATTTTGTATAGAGCAGCTAAATTGATTTAAAATGCATGCACACAGAATTTGATATCCCAGATCTTGGGTTTTGTTTTTTCTTTTTAACAGTATTGTTGAAATTTTGTAGAGGTTTGCACTTACAAACATGATGGGTATAGAAGCACAGGTTATACTGATAAACTTCAGAAAAAACAAAAGAGGTCTGTTAGCTAGTGCATAAAACCAGCATTTTGTGCGTGGTGGCCAAAAAGCTGTAACTGGAATATCAGTGCTATTCCGTTTTAGTCCTCACCACAGTGTAACTAACATCTCTGTGCAAGTTTTTATGAATATGTTGTTCTTCGTCCTTTCTCTACAGTAACACTGCAATAGCTAGAAGTTGTATAGCTGTTGTTTGCTGGTTTTCTCCAGAATTTCAGTGCCTCGGAATTAAAAGCCCTTTATGTTTTGGTCAGTTCTGGTTAAGATCTCTGCTGTCTTAGAGTTATGTTTTATCTTTTGTTAACACCTAATGAAAACTGAACAAGGCTGCTGTGTGACCTGGGGAGAATAACTGCTGTCTACCTTCCAGCCTTGTACCCATCTGGTTAACACAGGCCTGAGGTATATGGAGTTGATCCATTTTTAAATTAATGTAACACTCTGTGTATCAGGATTAATACAAAGTTAAACCAAGTCTTGAATGATGAATTCAAGGATCAAAGCTTACTCTTTCTCCCAACGGCTGATCCAAATAATGGTTAAGCCTCAGCATGTGTGTCCTGCAAACACTGAGGTGGCCAGAACAAGTCTTGGGGAATTTTGCAAGAGCAAAAGTACATGAGTAGGAAAAGGCAAGTGATGTGCAATGTTGCTGTTGGGTAGTTTTGCTCCTGGAAGCACAAAGTAATGAATATTTGCACAGTATGTGTATTTATACCACTGTATGACAGGAAAAGTTAATTTTGGTGGTGGAAAATTCTATTTTTACTTCTTTGGAGCTAAATTCTGAGTAAAACTAAGTTTGAATTGGAGGCATACCTCACTCCATCTCTTGCCTGGGTGGGGATTTTGAGGGGCAGTGCCCTGCAAATGGCTGCCTGTTGCAGCACTATCCAGAGCTCGTTGTATGCGCAGCAGTTGTACCCCGACGTTTGAAGGGGGGCACAGTGCATTTCTGTTCCAGAGGAAAACCTTTATTATTTGTCAAGGAAAGCTGCCAAAATCTGGAATGGCTGTGCTTTGCCACATAAGAGGGTAGATGAAGCTTTTTGCACGAATGACCAGCATGAAATCCATACAGCGTTTAAACACTACTTTTACCATCATGGGTGCAGGGGGCTCCTGTTGGCTAACAGGAGGATGAAGGCAATGGATGCTTCCTGTCTGAAATGGTCTGTCTTAAAAATAAGTTGTCTTTCAGAGTAGAAAGCTCCAGAGGGTGATTGCAGGAATATCCCTTCTCAGCAGCAAATGAGGAAGGGCAATGCAAAACTACTGTACTCTATACTTGAGTTAATGTGGATAGTTAACATTTCAGGGGTCGTTGAAAACTGAAGGTGCATTCCTAGTTCTCTATCATAACCTTAAAATATTTATTATGTTATAATAACAGCATAACAAATAATTTTTGGGGGGTTTTTCCTTGTACAGTCTGTCTTGTCTGATGGATGATTTATAGTCTCCAGAATTGTTAACTTCTCCCACTTTGAGGGAACAAAAACTGTGGGGCTAATTCCCCTTTTACAAAACAAGGGAAACCACTATTATAGGTACATGAAGAATGGCAGTTTCTTTTTTTTAAACAAGCTCCTGCAGAGTACTTTTATAATATTATTGGTCTAAAATATACTGTTTGAAGCCAGTGACAGTAGCAATTAAATGACCTACCAACTTCCCAGTCAAATATAAATGCAAAAATAGACCTTTTTCAAACATGATTTCTAAACTGCAATCTAGAAATAAACCTGAATGTGGATGGTAACCAGTTGGCATATATTTTTAATCCATCCACAATAATTGTAGTTTTTTTTTTTTTTTTTTTCCCCCCCCCCCCCCCCCCCCCAAAATGATCACGAAGATACTCACTCTCATCACAAAACTTCCCACATGTTTTTGTTAACTAACTTTGGGGAAAAAGGGAACATGAACTTGGAACTAAGTCAAATGTGCAAATTCCAGTTAAAAATGTATGCTTGCCTTGGAGGGGAGGTTTGTTTTATTTTAGTTCGTAAGGCTTCTAGGAGATAGGAGGGATCTAAAATAGGAAAAGACGAGTACATCTAACAGATCATAATGGTAAACAAAACCAGTAAATTTTATGTGGTGCCTTTTTAAAATTAATATACAGGAATATTCATGAAAATTATATTTTTTTCAGATACTCCAGTTCTTCATATCAACTAGTTGGTATTTTGAAGATGAAAGTAAAATATTCAAATAGTAATACCTGTTCTTGGTATGATCTCTCACTCTATTTTAACTAATGGAAATAAGTACTAAATTGAACAAAGATATATATCACTCAGAAAGTGCTTACAAGTGACCAACTTCAAGCATCTAAGGATAAGATTCCAAAATCTAAGGCCCATACAGCTTAATATTCAGAAGAATTTCCTCTAGATGCACAGAGCACAAGATTTATGAACAGTCTGGAATAGCTATTATTTTATGCATTAGAGGATCGTGATCTGGCTGTTAGGATTTAATTGCAGTCTTTCTGGAAGCGGGTATGTACAAACCATCTAATTCTTTATTGAATGAATGAAGATAACCAAGGCATCTACAGCAGCAAAAACAATTGACAAAAAAATGGCTCAGTTAGGTTTGCATCATTGTTTATTGTTGAAGAGTAGATTGAAATGAAAATAGCTAGATGAGTCTCATTCAGTGAATTGCTGAATGCTGTTGTATAGTATGCTATTACAGAGAGGATTTTAAGTATCTAATGCTATTGCTGTTTTCAGGGATCATTATTTGAGTGTTGTAACATGGGTGACAGATGAAAGGATCTGTCTGCAGTGGCTCAGAAGAATTCAGAATTTTTCAGTCCTCACAGTCTGTGACTTTGAAAGTGCTACTGAAAATTGGACATGTCCACGGGTAAGAAAAAATGAGGTGGGAGAGTTGCAATGCTTGATAAATGAAACTAGAAAGGAGCAGAGTATCTCTGAATGTTTATCTTTGTAGAAACATAGCCTGATGTAAAATAAACATAATTGTTGTGGGATTGTTTGTTTTTTTTCTTTCTTAGGAAAAACAACTTACTGAAGAAAGTACAACTGGCTGGATTGGCAGAGTGAGTGTTCAATTTCTAAAACTGCTACCTGTTAATAACACTGATAGTTAAGAAAATTTCACGTGAGCCTCTTGCCAGTTGCAATGCCTCTTGTGTGCAGGCCTGATCCATTCACTTGTTGCATTTTACATGTATAGGAAAAAATGATCTCAAATGGAGCCACTATGCCACCCCGCTCCCGGTTTTAAGCTTTTGTGGGTACGGGGTTCTGAACTCCCTGGCTGGGCTGACAGTGCAGCAAGGGCTGGAGCTGTAACTGTGTCCTCCATGACCTGTGCATCATATTCAGCTTGCCAAAAAGCGGAGTCCTTCCAGATTCCTTTTTAATTCTGACCTACTGCTTCGGTAGTGGTAGGTAGGGGAGTGCAGGAGCCAGGATTCGGAATTCCCTTTGTTATGGGGGAGTCATCAGCTATGCTGGTTTGGCTGCTCTCCAGTCTTCCTGCCACTTCAAGAATGATCTAGGGGATAAAATGTATTAAGAAGTGTATCCTATAACCTTTGAATTGTATTGGAAGAAAGGCATAGAGGACAAAAGTAATTTTTAGTGTTTCAGGTTGCAACAAACTATTCCAGATTCTCCTTCAGGGTTTTTATTTAATTATTTATTTTTCCCCCGCTCAAAATATCCATTGAAGAGAACTGGGGACAAGATGTGTATAACTGACCAGATTAAAATTTTCATATGCTTCTGCCAAACCAGTTGCTACTGTTTGGATGATGCTTTTCAAGCTGCCTCTCAGTCCTTTTGTACATGGTAGAGAGTAGGCACCTAATGAACTACACAGAAGATCTGGGGGAAGTGAAGCAGAGATGCAAAAGTTCAGACTTGGAGGGAGAAATGAGTTTCAGAGTTTTTGATGAGAACACTGAGTACACTTTCCACTCCCGCATTTTCCACACACTGATTATGCTTTAGTCACTAATTCACTTTTGAAGTCAAAAATGAAAGTTTAAAGAAATGCAAAGAGGGAGGCAACAGCAGGGATGAAATCATCCGCAGTATGAAGATGAGAGATCAACCCACCTGCTGTCAAATTTGATATGGAAAGGAAGGCCTTAACGCTGACACATTTTGCTTCTCTGCAGCAAAGGCTTCACAATTAGACAATGTGATGATCAAGCTGCAGACTTTGTAAACAGTTGTGCAAAATGAGAGGGCAAAATGCAAGTCTGTGCCATTAAACTAGGTTGTTGGGTTTTTGTTTCTTTTAAAGACACAACCCACATCTTAGGAGCTGTTGGAAGAAAAAGATAATCTCACTGTATGGTTCTTGGATTTGAGAAGGGAGTGGAAAGTAGGGAGGATTGAAGAAGGGATAGGAAAGGTATATTTGTTCCTTTCTTTTATTCTTATCTACTTAGGGATGATAAAATACAACACTTGACTGATATGGGATATTTTTATATATCTATGTGAGAGACGGATATATACACACATATATGTATATACAATTCATATAAGTGTATATACAAAATTAAGTAAATTATACACGTGTGTAAAATACAGACATAGAGTTCTGTCTTTATATGTATGTATAGTGGTGGGGTTTTTTAAAAGTAGAGATGAAATGATACTTAATCTAAGAACGCTCAGAACAGCCTGTGTTACTGCATAAGGCTTCCAGGTCATGAGCTAAGTTAGAGCTTGCCAGTTGAGTTGAAGGAAAGTCACACTTTGAAAAAGCAAGACTGCTATAAGGGAGAAGCTAGCAAAATATTTGCCAGGTTATTTTTTGCAAAAATATTGCTAGGGAAGAAGGAGAGATTGTCTGGAGCACATGGGTTAGGAAGACTCAAGTTCTGTCATTGCTTACTGAGTGACCGGAGGCAAGTAACTTCATCTTTCTGTTTCACTCTCCATTTCAAAAATGGGTATAGCATCTCAGAGGTAATTGCATTGTGTCAGTTGGCTAATTAAAGTTTAGATGTTTTGGACATTTATCACAGAAATAACTTTTTATTTCATTCATCTCAATTTCATTCCTCTGTTTTTCTCTCTACCATGTGGAGCACATCCAAATGACAGTCAGTAGAAGGAATCCATTCATTTCCATCACTCCGAATTGATAAGCGGATAGTTCCTTTGTGAAAATATCATTCCAGTTTGGGTTCTCTGGCATTCTGTAATCACCTACTTACTAGCAAAATTTCCTCTTGGACAGCAGCTTGTTTTCTTTGAATAAAGGGGGACGTTTTTCACTGTTAAGCTAAAAAAAAAAAAGAAAATTAAGAGTTCAAAGAATTTGTTCACAAATACATGTTTTAAAATGAGAAATTCAAGGAAACCATGTATTTGCAATTCTTACATTGCTATAGGTTACAGCTGCATGTTGGCGTTGGACAGAATAAAACAGTGACTTTAAAAGTAGATGCACATATTGTTTCCTAAAATGGTAGGAAACTAGGAACACCTGTGGGACTTCAAATTCAAGGGAGGTAGGAGGGGACATTGATCATTATGAGCGCTAATGCTCAAGAAGTACCGCTGCTTAAGGAGGAAGAAAATATTTTAAGTGTGTTTACTTTCAGGGTAATGGCTACAGGTTCTACCTACTAGGTCAGTAGGCAAAAATTTTGCAGTACGTTCAGCGATGCATTGTTTTAAGTATTGAACCTCCTGTTTAGAGATATCAAAACCTAAATTATGATTTTGGTTTTGGAGTTTTGTTGTTTGCTTTGATAGACTTCTCTCTTGTGTTCAAGTTTCAGCCATCTGTCCCTCACTTTGCACCCGACAATGCTACCTACTACAAAGTTTTCAGCAATACCGTAGGTTACAAGCACATCCATTACATAGATGGCTCACAGGTAAGTAATAAGGTTTGGGACAGTCACTACTGACTTGAGTTTCTCCTGGTGATCAAGGAGCTTCACTTTCTACTTTTTGCCTTGCCTTTTCCCCCCCATCCAGGCTGTAGTACCTATTACTGCAGGAAAATGGGAAGTAATCAGCATAGAAGCTGTAACTAATAACTTTTTGTAAGTATTGTAATTAAGCTATTGATTCCTATCAGGAGGGCTTGTAACAAGGGTCTAAGCAAGCAGGGAGGGAGAACAGGAAGAAGGTGTTATTTAACTCATTAAAAAATCTGATCTAAACATGTAAGATAAACCTTTAAATATTGTGATGTACAGTAAATATTTTACCAAAACCAGTATGTTTTGCTTTTATAGATACTACATTAGTAATGAAAATGGTGGAAAGCCAGGAGGAAGAAATCTTTATAAGTAAGAAATTTTTTCTGCAATATGAGTAAAATATTTGTTAATGAAAAAGAAACTTTAAGAAAAAGCATTGCAAAATAAATTATTAGGATGTTCATAGTCTAATGTGGGATCCTATATAGGATATTTAATGAAAATCAGTGTAGTAGTATAAACTGTAAAACTAACTAAAATATTTTCTGTAAATTTAGTTAATAAAGGGAGATTGTGAAAAGGAATAACCAATTCTCAAGCAACAAACCCCTAAAGAAAACCTCTCATGCTTTTTATGCTATGATTATAATTCCAATATTAATTGAACTCAAGAGTTTAAAGTCTGTTTTCTCTAATTTTTAAATCAGTTAGGACTTTACTGCTGAATTTTGACGTATTTCATTCGGTCATCTTCCTTAAAAAGCATACATTTGTTTAGCATAGCTTAAAAAAAAAAGAAGTCTTTCATGTCTGAAATGAAGCTCATCTACTTTACAGAGTGCTCTTGGAAAGCAGTCCAAATTCTCCTAAATGTGTTAGCTGTGAACTGAATCAAGAAAGATGCCAGTATTATTCTGTGTCCTTCAGCAAAGATGCACAGTATTATCAGCTAGATTGTCATGGTGAGTATATCCGGAATTAATTGACATAAACATGACACACTGATTAGTTGGGTGGGGAAGTTCGCCTCATCAAGATCTTGATATGCACTGCGTAACAATGATATGTGTTGATATTGTTGGATAAATGCATTGGCAGTGGAAAAACATATTCTGCCCTAGGCTCAAAAGCACCTTGACAAAAATTACAAGGATAAAATTTGATAGTTCTGTCTATTAGTGAACGCGAAAGAGGTGCAAAACACTCCTGTCTGTTGGGCATCTCCTCAAGAGCTGAATGGGGAGCTCTGGAGAAGGAATTTGGAGGCTCTGGGAGCAAGGCAGGCAACAGGCTGGGTAAAGAGAAGTGCTCTATGTGTGGGAATAAAATTAAGATAGATAGTGCTGTTAAAAATCTAATGAACATAATCATAAGTTAAGCAGCAGGACTCTAGTCTGTCTCTGACCTCTATGTGCTTGTGCTAGACAGTACAAGGGATAAATTAATCAAAGGGTGGGAAAAATAAATTCTGCTCTAAAATTTCCCTTAGATTGAAAGGTATGTTGTTTTTTAAGATGCCAAGATCTTCCTTGATCTATGGGCTAGAAGGACAGACAGACAGCAGAGAGGGAATAGTTCTGTCAGGTTGTAAAAATGGCTGTTTGAAGAAGACTGCTGTGGTCTCTGACAAGGCTTACTGATTTCCAAACCATGGTCCACAACTGATGGGTAGACTTTGCTAAAGAGTGTAAGTTTAATTCTTCAGTACCTCACAATCATGTGGTTTGCCTGCGAGATAGTCTTGAGTATTTTACGGGATCCTGTGGCTTGAGTCTGGGACCTGCTAACTTAAAATCCAGCTTGTGCAGACTGGAGGGAAACAAGTTCTGAGCTTTTATGATTCACCCACTTCCAGTTACTTTACGGGGGCTGTGTTTTGAGACAGCATGCAAACATGAAGGTTTGTGCTCTATCAACAGGTCCTGGCCTGCCCATATCTACTCTACACAGAAGCAGTGATGATCAAGGTATGGGGTTGTCTCAAAATATAATTTGCATTGAGCCAGAAAATTGCACTGTAAATTTATTTTAATTTTGTTCTCATTGCTTAGTATACTAATTTAAATGTCAGTTATAAAGGGTAAATTTAATTTCAGATAATTACTCTAGTATAGTTAACCAGAAGAATAAATTATATAGCTTGGCATACGTTTATTCATAGTTTATGTAATACTATTTTACATTGTGCTAGGAAACAGTGAGTAATGTATGACTGACTGACTGGGTAATTGTTCAGTTTTTCTGAAATTGTGTTGAGATGAAAAACGGGGAAACCAGCTTTCTGGTTACTTAAATTACTGAAGGAAAACTATATTGTAAACATTGAATCTGAGAGGAAAAACAAAAAGTGCAGTAAACTAAGACTGCAGTGTAGGTTGTCATCATCTCAGATTGAATTTTTAAAGTGGTTCATAATTAAAGAGCAATGCATTTGAAAATAATATATTTATTCTTTGACTCTTACTAACTCTGTTATTTAGTCCTCAGATACTTGGAAAATAACACTCAACTGGAAAATTCACTGAAAGATATTCAGATGCCTTCAAAAAAAGTTGGCTCCATTAGAGTAGGTGGATACAGTAAGTTCAAAAACATGTTTTACCTTTCTCTCCCCCTTCCACCAAGTGCTTCAAGGTCTTCTGCTGAAAAGCATGACAGAAAAGATGGGTGTATTGGGGATTATTGCAGTTATTCAGCACTCAGAGGCAAGACAAGAATTTTTATTTTTGCATTCTGTTTTTTTGTGAAATCCCAAAATATTCTTATCTAAAACATGTTTTTTCCCTAGTGTGATATCTTGATGTTTTCATGATGAAGTGGTTCATTTTTTCCTTGATAATTACCTGAAAAACCAAAGTCCCTACCACATTAAATAAATAAGTAAGAGGAATGGAAGGTGGGGCGCAAAGCTTGTAAGCACTGTTGAATTTAAATTAAATTCAAGTAGGTCTTAATTTACAGGTACCAAGTCCCTTTGGTTTGTGTTAGTAGGTTGGGACAGTGCAGGAGAAGTTCAGTTATTATAAAAAAACAGACATAGGATCTAAATGGAAAAGCTTGCAAAATCATTTAGGCTACATTTCAACAAGATCGCCTTTGACTTTGTGTAGGGGAATATTTGGATGGAATAGTCATGTTCTTAAAAGCACATTCACACTCCAAGACTACATAAACCTCTGAACACAGACGAGAACAAAATGCTAGAAATTGAACTGCTAATGCTTTGCTGGTGGTGCTCCTCTGAATTTGCACGTCGGGGTACAGAAGCTTTCTTGGTGTGCTCCTGGGATGGGGAACATCAGATGGACCAGCAGTGGGAGGCCTGGTACCTGTCTAAACTGTTCTTGTTCCAGCCTTTGCTACTAGCTTTTCTCTTCATGACAAACTTCCTCTTGATAAAATGAATTAATATTCTTAATGGCATTATATTTTACAAACTGTATTGAGTTCTGCTAGTCATTAACTGTTCTTTTTGATGCCTCCCTCCTTCCACTGCTACCTTATTTATATAATAACTCTCTTTATCTTTGTGTTTTCTGTCTTTTATTTCTGTCACGTTTTTACTAGGGCTAAAGATGAAATCTTGCAGGCAAGATGGAGGTTTAAAGATGTTCTTCATGCTATCAGTTGTATATTCATCTTTTTATTCCTCTTTGTTCTTACTACTTCATCTCTTCAGGGTAAAAGCTTTTGGGTAAGGGGACTCTATTTTTAATGTCACCAGTAGGAGAAATAAACCTATTTATGTAGTCTTACTTCAAGTTCCAAGTCTGCTCACAAGTCCATGTATGTTACCAAAGAAGAAATCCACTCCCATGACTATAGAGAATGCCAAAAATTAAAATCAGTATTTTCATGTGTTCAGTTTAGATTGTTACTTTTTCAGTGTTTTAATGTCTTGCATATTCATATCTGGACAAATTTCTGTAAGGCTTGCACTCTGGCTATTACTGCAGTGCAGTCAATCAGCATTGCTTCATGCTTTCTTTGTATCATCAGCTCTTTTAAAATTCATGAGTGAACAATCGAGCCAATTGGTTTGCAGAACTTACATGGTGTGCATTTAAAATGTTCAGCTAACTCTCAGCCAACTTGGGTGGAAATAGTAACATGGATGGAACTGGAACCAATGTTGCTTGAGAAATAATAGATATTTGGATATGTTTCTGTGATGCTTTACAAAATGTCATGCAAAGCCTATGTAGCAGGTTCAAAATATTTAAAATTTCTTTTAAGTCCTGGGAGAGAAATTTGCGTAGAGAAACATTTTTGAACTAGTGACAGATTTACCACTGTAGAGGCTTACCAAGTTTTACATGTAAGCTTATAATGTAGAATAATGTTACAAATGTTACGAGACAGCATGTTGAATCCCCAAATTTTATTATTATTATTGTAGACATTTCAGTTCCAGACTTTCTGTTAACTTAGCTGTAAAACATTAAAAAAAAAAAAAAATTAGCTAGGAACTTTTACATGTATATATTAGGACAGTTCAGATGAAACTGCTTTTTAATTTTTAGGGGGTGACTCAAATGTGCTTTTGTATGAATTGCAATGCATGTCAAATTACTTCACTGGAGAACTGACCTAGGTCAAACTCTTTTCACTTTTAGACCTGTGGTATCAAATGATACTGCCTCCCCATTTCGATTCATCAAAGAAGTACCCTCTGCTGCTTGATGTGTAAGTCTTCAAGTTACATGGCAATGTTGTGTTAATAATCACTTTCATCTACTTCAAATGCTCTTAATAAGATCAGGAAACACAAAATTGGCATGTTTTCTGATTACTTCTTGAAGTAGTTTTAAGAGGGAATGGAAAAAATGAGGTTTGTCCCAATTTTGTGGTAGTCCTGTACCATAAGATGATGTAATGCTTGACAAGCACATATTTTGCTGGTGGCAGTGAGGCAGATACATTCTGACTTAAAAGCCAGGATGTTAGCGTTAGCTTAGCTCCTTCTCTGCTCTTCTAAGAGTTCATTAGGAATAATATTCAATGAAATTATATTCCAGAATGAAACCTTGAATAAGCTGTGTGTCCTAAAGCTGAAGCAGTGAGTGTGATATTGCATTTTCTCTGTGATACTTGACTGTCAACTGGTACTGGCAAACTGCACCCTGTGGTCAGGATTGCATTTGCTGTTTTTTCATAATTTCAAGACCATGAGCACGTGCTGTTTGGTCCATTCTTCCTCAGGAACTTCTGGTCATGCTGGTATGTTTTCTTCTAACTGGAAATTAGTGAAATTTAGCTATTCATTAAAATAGAAATGTTAATCTTTTCCTTTTTTTATGAAAAGCTGAATCCACAAGGAAGTTAGCTGTTAATTGTTAGATACATCTTTATATACATGTTTTGGTAGCACTATAATACTTTTTAATATACCTATTGATCGTTTTAATGAGCAGTCAGTGCTTTTTGCTTCTTAAGACTTATTTTGGTTTTGATTCTATTTTTATTGACTTAACCTGGGCCTTTGTCAGGATCACCTCTGCTTCATGGTGATCTTGGTATCAGAATTTCCTAATAGTTTTTTCTTTGCTTTTAAAACTGGGAAAAATGGGTAATAGAGCCATAAGAGCCACTCTTCCATTTCTTACTCTGTTGAACGGTGTCTAGAGAAATGCACTGCAAACAGAATTTTACCATCCAGGCACTCACGGAGTGTGATTTCGTAGTGCTCAAGTGCTTTCGAATATTTTAAAATGAAAAGTTATAATTTCAGTTTTGTTTCCTTTTTCTCAGCCTGTATAAGAAATAGTTTAGACTGTAGGGAACACTGATGAGACACTAAAAATGCAGGAAAAGATCTTTTTTGTTTTCCCAAATGAAGGCTATATGTTGATTTCAGACTTTAACCAAATAAATTATGGGTAAATGGAACGGAAATGGTTAAAGAGCATTGCTTTGAAACTCTCATGACTAGATATGCCAGCACAAAACAGAATTTTGTTTGGATTTCTGTTAAGCTGCTTAAAGTCAAGATAATGGAAGTTTCTTGTTAGGGCAGAAAGCAATAAAACAAATAAAATCTAGTCTGCTTTCTTGATTAACAGTTGATGTTTTAAAAAAGCATATCGCTTTTAGTGTCGAGGCAAAGCAGCAGTTTGGAGTCAGTTGGTGATGCTTTTCTTCTTTGCTCAGTTTAATTTAAAAGTTTACCCTTCTTCAGTGGCTGAAAATTGTCAGCAATAATTGTATTTCAAATTCTTGATGTGAGACTAGGCGGAGAGTAAATGCCTGAAATCTGTGGCTCTTTTCACCCAGGTATGCAGGACCCTGTAGTCAGAAAGTAGATTATTCTTTTCAGATCAGCTGGGCTACTTACCTTGCAAGCACGGAGCAGATCATTGTGGCCAGCTTTGATGGCAGAGGAAGTGGATACCAAGGGGATGAAATTCTGCATGCAATAAACCGAAGGCTGGGAACATATGAAGTGGAAGATCAGATAGCAGCAGCCAGGTGAGCTACAGTGAAATGGTCAACAACCTGCTCCTTCTTTTCTGTGCTTATTGTGTAGGGGGGGGAAAAAGGTGAAGGTTTTGAATGGTCATCTTGAAATTACTGGCAAAAACATAACTGAATTCTACATGAATTTTGTATGCTGACATGTGTCATTTACAGGCCAACCATCATTTTACACTTAAAAAGAGAGAAGCGTTAATGCTGTAATACAAGTTTACTATATCTCTGGTTTTATAGAGATGATAAGTGTCGCATTAGTACAAGAGCGTACTACCAAGGAACTTGGAGCTGGAAGGTTCGCTCCAAGCTTTTTGCACATTTCTGTTGTGATGGAGTTATTTGTGTAAACTATTCAGCCTTTACATCATAGTTCATGTTCGTCACTTGGTTTATGCTTGTAGAACCTCACTAAACCGAATAGTGCCAGCATGAATGTCTCAGAATCACAAAGAAGTGATCTTCCAGAGTTTGCTGTTGGGGATTTTAAAATGTTAAGGAGTTTAAAGAAATAGCATTTCAGGATCTTTCTTTTTTAAACTCTGACTGGATTTACAGGTGTCAGCCTGCCCCCTTACTACTGCAATTTGAGTGTTGCTGCTCTTTCTTTAAAACAAAAAAAAAAGAAAAAGGACAAAAAAAGGGTGAGGCAGGTTGTGAAATCTAACCTAATACAATACAAATGTCAGTGAGTGTGGTTTGAAGGCTTTTACAGACTGTCCAGGTTTTGGTTTTTCCCACGCATAGATGTTTTCCTGAATTGCTTAGATGCACGTGCCTGAAGTATTGTATGTTTTCATGTGCAGCCACTGTGATGACGTGGGAAATGCTTATTTATACAATAGAAAGAGGCAGACATGATGGAAAATAAGCACATCTGTATAATGGCAGATACCTGCAATTCATTAAGCATTTAATTATTCTGTTTGCTTTTAGAACATTTTCTGAAATGGGCTTTGTTGATAAGGACAGAATAGCTATTTGGGGTTGGGTAAGTACTCAAATAAATTTGACTGGCTTATTATTTAATTGTAACAACTGTTTGTTGTGCTGCTGTGTGTGAGGTGCTGGAGTACTTAGTAGAGGCACCTCTAGAGTCATGGCACAGTCTAATAACTGAACTGACGAAGTACATCTTACAAGTGCCTGTATACGTTGTCCCTTTGCAAGCATTCAGGAGCCTTTGAAACAGAGATTAGGACTGTTAGAGGGATTAAAAACAATTTAAAGGGATACTGCCAAGTTCCTGTGTACTAGATGAACCAATATTAAAAAAATAAAAATTCTAAGTATATATTCACTACTGTCTCTTTATACTAGTTGGATTACTCTAATTTTTAAAAAAAAAGATGTAAAATTACATGTGAACCAGCTGCATGGCACAGTTGTCATGTTTTCACTAGCAGCCTGAAAATACTTAAATCTGCTATATTTTTGTGCTTGACTATATTTTATTTCAGCACTACTTCCAAACAGAGACCAGATTTCTCTGACTTGATGTGTCTTTGAAACCTGTCACAGTAGAGGGGAGTGTTTAATAGCATATACATACCCTGTAGAGGGGAGTGTTTAATAGCGTATACATACCCCCTCAGCTGCCAGGCTAAGTGCATATGTACTGTTAGTGATATCTATTTGATTCAAACTCTGAACATTTCTCTGTCCCAGGCTGCTGTTTCACTGCTTTTTCTGGTGTCACAGGGAGTATTCTTGCATGCTGTGTTTAAGCATACTATGTTTAAGTATATGCAGGATTGCATGCAGGATCTTGAATTAAATGGCTAGCTGAAATTTGGTCACTGCTAGTGACAGGCACCAGTGAATAAATTGCTTGATGGCAAGATGATGATGGTGCCTTTAGTAGCTTTTCTTGTGGGGGTAAACATCTCTGTGTTGTATAAAGTCAAGTGTAGTAGTATTAACTTTAGTGGGAGGGAGATTCCTTCTGCAGAAACGGAGGCCTTAATGCATTCCCATCTAACTCCTCATGAGCCTCAGGAGGAACAGCTGAAGAGCAGTCATCTTTGGAGCTCGGTTGGCGTTATGCATCATGGATACTGAATCTGTGGGCAAACAGATTTTCTATATCTCTTGAGTTTTCAGATTGTCAGCCTGCCACTGTGTACGTTAATTTTGTTTGCCGTAGGTTTAGCAGTAATATCTTGACTGTGGCCAAGTTAGGCAACATATTTATACATGGATTTAATTACTAAGTACATGCATTACTTGCTAATCTCATTGGGAGGGCCTAAGTATTGAAGTTGGAGCAAACATTTAAGGACTTTGAACTAAGATGCAGTTCCGTTTCCCTGTAATCTGGTTTCAAGACAGGAATGAGATCCAAAAATTGCTCTTCTTTTTGAATGTGGGTGGGCACATTCTCCGAGATAACCCCTTCAAACTATAGTGAGGGCAGTCATTTGGGCGGTCGGTGACATTGTTTAGGTATCTTGCTGCCTGGATGCTCAAGCGCGTCAGATATTTACTCATCTGTGTATCAGGCTAGACTGCAAGTGAATTTTCTGTGCACCGCAAGGAGCGTGTTGCTGCACAGTTCCTCCCACAGGCTCAGCAGAAGATCCTTCGCTCCCGTCACAGTCTTGCTCTCGACGCTTGGGAGGAGAGTTAGCAAGTGAGCTGCCGTAGGCCTGCTCCGAGGGAGTTGTAAATTTTCAGATGCCCTGGTGCAACTACTCATTGGCGCGTTGTGGGCCCGAGCTCTGCTGCCACCCACTCCCCCAGCACCGGGAGGGACGCAGCGGTTCAGCAGTGTCTTGTTTCCTGTCTTTCGCTGCTGCCTACAGTGCTACCAAACACTGTCATCCTTAGCTGAGTCACAGTTCAGCAGCATTTGCGCCCTTTTTCCCCAGCAAGTTCTCATTCATCAGCGCCACAGCTGCCATGCGCTGTTTGATGCCTGTTTCCCCGACTGAGCAGGCTGGGTGAGATCTGACCCAAATTCAGAATGGAGTTCATTAATATGAAAAACGCTGAGCCTATAAACGTCTGATGAACCGTTCAGCAGATGGGCCCCATCCTTTTCTTTCCGACTAAAATAACAGCAATGTTTTCTTCTCAGTCTTATGGGGGATATGTGACCTCCATGGTGCTTGGCTCTGGAAGCGGCGTGTTCAAGTGTGGAATAGCGGTTGCCCCCGTGTCACGTTGGCAATATTACGGTATGTGATGGCTTCCTCGTTACAAGGATTCCCATATGTCTTGCAGTGCACATGCTGCAAAGTGTTGATTCATAGCGCAGAACTTTGATTATCTACTAGATGCCATGTAAATGCCACTTGGTCTGTTTTTATGAACTCATGGGTACTGCATTTCAGAATTAAAGCAATTCCCTAAATCTTACTTTCCATTTTAAAAAGTCAGATCCGCAATTCCAGGTAATCTCTTTAACCTTTAATGAAGGCTAGATTATTTGTTATATTTGTAGTATTACTGTAATGTGTCTGTGTTTGCTTTCCAAAGCTGCCACATGTTCTGAGACCAGTACCTTGTGTCAGAAAACCATCACTATTAGACTTTGCTTCTCGAAAATGCCACTTCTCTTATAACAGTGAACTGTGAGACTTAACATAGAACTTGCATTGTAATTTACTCTCTCAAAGTAACAGAATAGGATTTGAATTGCCGCTTTTTTTTTTTTGCCTTTTAGAGCATAAAATTTGGATTTTATAAATTAATTAATCTTAAGAATAGCTTGATGTGAGGAAAACCTGAACAAGTGGACAAGTCTGTACGTGCTTCAAGCTTATACTGTGTGACGTTGTAGTTGCATGGGGCTACAAATACAGTTACAGGGGCCCTCCTCCCAGATTAAAAAAATTATATACAGTTAAAAATATAATATGTGCTGGTACAGTGCGACCACATTTTGACATTTTTCTGGTTTTGATTTGTCCAAAAACATTCAAGGGTAAGCTTTTCCTGGCAAACCTCTGCTAAATTAAGGTATAATTTATCACTCTGCAACTAGCACAGAGGCTGTATAATAGCATATTATGTGCTCTGGCTAATTCAACAGATCAAATCATACTGCCAGGTATTAGCAGTAGTCTGTTGAGGACGTAGGAATGTTTTCATGATGTCTGGGACATGAATATTACAGTAAGGCAGGAAATTTTTTTTTTTTTATGAAGATCAAGATCTCTAAAATTCCACTTTTAGTTGGTTAGATAAAGGAAAGGATTATGGAAGCATGCATATTCACCATCAAAAAACCCCAGTGCAACAGTACTGATGAGGAGTCAAATGGACATTAGAATATGGTAACAGAATGTTGATTTGTATGGCTTAAAATAAAGCAACAAATCTGCAAAAATGTTAATATGATATCATGCTGAAAAATCTGTGGAAAATCAGAGATACTTGATTTTTACTATATATAACATCGAGCCAAGCGGAATCCTAAGCTACTGCTACATTTTCATTTTATAGATTTTTAGTAGTAAACATTTCGATAAAATATCTAAGACTTTTTCAAATGCTAGTCATTTACTGCAAGATATTCTGTAATTTTCTTAGGATTACTGAAAGAATAACAATAAGGTAACATTGACACAAAGTACTTTATTAATATTCAGCATTCAGGTGTCCATGGCAACAAGAAGATTAAATATTCTGAATAATGATGGTTACCTACACGCCTCATTGTGGAAAACCTGATTTTTTTTTTATTTTTTTTTTTTTTAATTTCCAGTATGCATTCTTATTGTTTGTATCAGTGGGTAAAATTTCGGATAGACAGACAGACTGAAAATTAAGTAGCAGATTCTGGTTTTTTTTTTTTTTAATTACAGATTCAATATACACGGAGCGATACATGGGCCTTCCTATAGCAAGTGATAATCTGAAGAACTATAATGTAAGAAAGAAATCACTTTATTTCATTTTTTGAAGTGTGTTGTTTCTTTTCTAAGCCACTCCATTTTTCTTTATACAGTCTACTTCCTTCCCTATGGGAAAAAATAAGTTTATTTCTTCTTTCCAGCTATAACTGTTGCATTGTGTTTTTAGAGGCTGTAGTCTCATGCATTTGGATTTGCATGAGGCAGTTACTTCTTGCTGTATGGTGTGGGTTTTCTGTTGTTTGTTTGGTGTGTTGGTTTCGGGTTTTATTTTTTTACATTCAGTTCCATTTGGCTACTTTGCAGACTGTAAAACAAGCTGTAAAAACTGTTTTATTTTAATCACCAAGAAACAAATTTGTTTTTAAAATTTAATATGCTCGTGGGCAAACTATGCTTTATCTTAAACAACATTTCCACCAAAACAAATGTACTCCAGTTCTTTCTGAAATGTAATTTTTAAAAAATGGGTATTGTGTAAACTTCCTTGCTTTAGGAATCTGCAAGATTTTTTCAGGGAAAGCAAAATCCCCTAAATATTAGGAAACTTTGACAGGTAGGCAAGTCTGTCTATACTGTGATCCTATCAAACAAACTGCAGACCAACTGAGACACCGGGTGTCCAAGGTTTGGTCTAAAATGACTAATGTTTTCCCAGAAGTGAGGGAATTTCCAGGTGTTCTAATGGGAGCAAAATACCTGTAGATAGATTTTCCTCATTAGGGCATGATGAAGTGTTTGACTTGCTCTTCCTTGTGCCAGCTGCTTTTTGTTGCCTCAAGGGCTTTTTGAAGTCACAGGTAGCTGGGCGTAGGGCAGAGCAGCCCAAGCCTTCTGTAAGGTTTTGTTAAATTTCAGATCTAGGTGGAAATAGAGCAGCTTTTGGAGAATCGTGAGGGATCTGAGGGGTACTTTGTGCTCTGGTTATTGGGATGTTTCACAGAGGTGTTCAGCCATGGCAATGCTGGAACCAAACATGGGCGTTAGATGCAAGGAGATGGGGCATTCTCCGTGTTTGAGTTGGTAAATAGGCTAGAAGACAGTTTAGCACTGATTGTGTGTCTTGATGTGTTAAAAAAAAACATCGGGGGGGGAAGAGGGAGGGTGTTGCATGGATTTAAAAGTATGGTAAAACATATAAATACATACATATATGGGACTGAAACATCTGTTTTGACATGTCAGTACAATAATCTAGTTTTGCCAGCTGCTATATCAGAGGTTCTGGTCAAAATTGAGGACAATGGCAGTGACTGCTGGAAGGCTTGGTACTGTGTCTGCCTCTTCTAACCAGCGAGTGCTCAGGTCCACTGGGGACTGACCAGCAGCCTGCAGCCGCCTGCCTGCCTTTTTTTCAAATGTGTTTCTTTAAGGCAGTGGGAACAGTAGGAGGTCTGCGAGGTAGCAGTGTAAATAGAAGTTACTGTCGTCGTGCAGAACGAACGTTAACGCTCTGGGTGCACAAAGTCATTCACCAGCTTCACGGCACAGATGGCAACAGAGGACTGTTTAATCCTTTCAAGCCAGGAGTCGGATTTTCTTGGCATAGTATCCATTGCTGGCAGTGGCCACGTTGAAACTGCCAGTACCAAAGAGCTAAAGGTTTCAAATGTGTTACTCAGAGGACTAATTGGGGAGAATGGTGGCTGGATGGAGGAGGGGTAATGGCACAGATCAGATTGTCACACTTCACTGCGCTTCTAGAGATAGGAAAATGCAACTTAAGTCCTCATTTGTTGTTAAAAGCCCCAAATAATGCATTACTTGGAATTTACTTTTCCATATAAACCTGGAGGGGTGGGGTAGCTTGAGAAGTGAGTTTGTTGCCTTTCATGTAGCACCAATGGAAGTGTTGTGGGATTTTGTTGTTGCTGAAGTCCCTTGCTGACTTCAGCCCAGCACGTTCTGGCTTACAGCCCCTTTGTTCAATGTCCCAGTCCCAATAGCCAGCCTCCTGGCCCCTTGTTGCTGATGAGAGCTGTTTTCTGAACTGAATGTTTTTTAGCAAGTAGATGCAAAACATGTACCGAAAGCTTTCCTAGCTGAAGCTGTTAAAGCATTTTTTAACTGTTAACTTTGTACTGTCAGGTTTGCGTGCTGCATCGTATATTCTCTATCCTACTGCATCCGCTCTAAAGCTGGCTTGAAAAGTGAAAGGTTGCATAAACTCTGTACTGTGTGCCCTAATTTAAAAGAGATGAGACTGTGTACATACATGCTTAGAGAAGATATACATGCTGCTAGGTACCTTCCTAATGCGCAGAGTATTATTAATGACTGTGAATGTATAGTCTCAAGAAACTAGTTGCGGTAAGAGGGGTACACCTTACCTTTGCATTACTGTGACATGAGGTTTCACAGTTATTGAAGGAAGAGAATCCAAGATGTTAAACGCTCTGTCAGGTCTGAGGGATGACTCACACTCCTCTGAGTAGGCTAATTGGGTCTGATCAGTGCCTTTTAAGGTAGTTGTGAATTATGAAAAATTAGAGCTTTGTAAAAGAAAGGAGCAAGCATGGGTGGAACTCCCAATATAATTGTGTAGGGATCCTAGGCTGAATGGCAGAGAAGCTGTCTGCTGGGGAAGCAATGTCCCTGATGTAAAAAAACTTGAGACTAAATCAGGGCAGAGCGCTAGAGGTCAGATACAGTAGCCATGTAAAGCATACCGAAGAGACTGTTCAACTTGTGAGAAGATTATTTTGCAGTTCACTCTGAATTTGATATGCTTTTGGCAAGTGTTTGAAACAGTCATAGATTTGGCAATCTTTTTCTAGCAGATTTGAAATGTTCAGTCCTTAAGAACTGCTGCATCATTAGGTTATGCAAAACAGGGTACAATTTTGTAAATATGCCATCTTGTACTGATTTGACATTTGTTCTATTATCTGAGAATATGCTAAAGGGAGAGAGACCTTCAGTTTCAGCCAAACCTTAACTTGTTTGTGGAGTGCTGGTAAAATGTTGACTGCCGTGTGATTTTTAGAAAAGCCAGTTACACTCAGCAGGGCCCAATTCTCAGTACTTGTACGTTACCTTTTCAGAGCCTTTGTCCCAGCAGTGTTGACTATGAAACAGAAGGGGTGAATTCAGTTGTATTTATTTGCTGTCCATGTGAGGTTTGTTCAGCTGATGTAGCTGTTGCTTTGTGCTGTAACTGCGCCTAACTTGAGATTGCTCCCTATCTTGCAACCTTCTTTTTTGCCAGAAGTAGTGTCCTTAAAGCATGTTTTAGGGAAGGGACTCTTCATGTTGAGTATGGGTACAGGTTGCAAGTGATAAAAAAACCTGAGAAAGTATCTCCTTTGTGTGCTCCTTCTTTCAGAAGTATTTTACAAATAGCTTTATTTTGTTTAATGCTTGGAGGCGGAAAATAGTGACATCCTTTTTCTAAAAGTGCTTTTGGAAAGTTGAGTTCTCGGAAGCATAGCTCAAGTCAGGGTTCCACTTGCAGAAGGTTTGCTGTCCCTTAAACCAGCACTGATTTGCTGGAAGAAAGCTTATAAAGGCAATCTATCAAGTTTCCCTCTGCACATGTGGAAAATGATTCACTCAAAGGACACTGGTTGGTTTTTGTGGGGTTGGTTTCGGGGCTTTTTGGGGGTTTGGGGGGGTTTTTTGTTTGGTTTTTTTTATATCGCTGGGCTATTACTTTCTGAATCGTTCTTTTGGTCAGCTGCTGTACCAGTGCTCCTCACTGAATCAAAGTGCTCCCTCCAGATTTTGGCACTCTCATAACTATCTGTTCTCACTGTGTGATACCAACTTGTTTCAATGGATAGCATGTATGGATTTCCATATATTAGATGGGATTTCTGGTGCTCTGCAACCTTTCACTATCAATAGATGGCAATTGCAGTGTCATGGATTGGAGGGTGGTTTTTTCTCTCTGCTGAACTTGTTTTTTAAATTTGGTTGAATAACTGCAAAGAACTCATTTCACTTACAAGAGGGTTGTGGTATGCTATTCTGCCATGACAAAAGGAATTTAATATTTATGGTTGCTTTAAAGATTCATGAGTGTACAACGCGTAAGGAAATTAGAACAATTCTGTGTCTTAGTAATATAATGTATTTGACTTTTTGGGGGTACTATATGCAAATCCCTGTCTAAGGATACAGCCTTAGTACAAGGTAGGGAAGGAAAAAAAAACAAAACAAAACACCACATTTTTTTTCTAATTTTTACTATTTTTTTCTTTGTCATGGTAGCTCTTAAGTTGCTGCAATATAGAAAAAACTTCCGCATTATTTTCAGCAGAGAACCCCTATAATGTTGCTCATAGAAGGAAACTTAATTCAATGTATATTTGCCTCATTATGCTCATTGCCTTATCAAGCCTGAAAGGGCTTGTCTCTTGTCCCTTTTCTTCTTCCCACTCTCATGGCAGAGCACTATCCTATTCCCTTTCCTTGCCCAAATTAAAGATCTTACCTGCAATCCTTACTTTCCTCATTCTTTAGTACCTAGTCACACTAGCAAGTCAGGTGGCTAGTATGTTCTAGGGAATATGTTGTTACTGTATTTTTAAGTTTCTTGATTAATCTTGGTTGCTGATTTTTTTTTATTTTTTTAATCACTATATTGTGTTTCAATTCCACAAATGTAGCTTGATTTCTGTTTATAGATTTGGTCTAGTATTTCTTTCCTTCAGGCATTTCTCTATCATATTTGGAGAAGAGCATTGTGTTAAACTTCTTGTCAGCCATTTTTAGTTGGGACTGATGAAATATTAGCTCTGTTGACTTACCTGCAGGTAAACTAGTGTACATTTTGGTGGAGAAGATAACGCGTGTGGTCTCTGCAAGATCTACTCCTCGCTATCATAGAGTGCACTGTTGCCATGGCAACATTTTTTAACTTGCCTGCAGTTGCACAGGAAACCTATGGCAAGTGGTGTGCTGCAGGCTAACAACATGTTAGCAATGCATTAAATGCGTATCCCACTCGCAAAACTCTTCCCCTCTGGAATTGCCTGTTACTTTGCAGACATAACCCTTGGTAATAATTGCAGACCGGTGCAGAATGGTTTGAGTGCGAGCACAGTGCTGTTGGGTATGTGAACATGCTACTTAGGCGTGTGAGGGGGGAGCAGGGGTTGTTTTTATCTGAAGGACCCCAGACTGTGTCAACAGGAATCAAAGTCAGTTGGTAGCAAATCATCTTCTAATAAATAGCACCTTTTTTCTTTTTCTTTTTTTTTTTCCTTTAATTTCAGAGTTCAACAGTAATGGCCAGAGCTGAAAAATTCAAGGAAGTTGAATATCTCCTTATTCATGGAACGGCAGATGGTGAGTTGCAGTTAATTAGACATTTTAGTATTACAGACAGGTTCGCAATTCTACTACTGACAAAACAAAAGCATGAAGGGGCAAGGCTGTTACATTTACGTCAATAAAATAATACTGCTTTCTGCAACTAATTTGTGTTTCAGTCAGCAGTGCTGAGGAGTTGACTGTATTCATTGCTTTGCTTTTCCCCCAGAGTGGTATGGAAGCAATTTTTTGTTTACCTTTTTCTTTTTTCTTCCACTTTTCAGATAATGTTCACTTTCAGCAAGCAGCACAGATTTCCAAAGCTCTTGTTGATGCTGAAGTGGATTTTCAGGCAATGGTATGGTTCTGTTTTGGTTTATCATCATACAAATGAGTTTGTATTATGAGAATAATAGCAAAAGCTCCCTGTTGTTAGGCATAAATCCATTGCCATCTTAAATGAAAGTTCACATACTGGCATTTCATGTTCAGTAGCTGAAATTTTAACGTTAACACACCCATGTGTCTTCTGTATAAGAAAAAATGTAAAGCAACTCCTTCTTGTATTTGACCCTGTTTACCTAATCTTTCATTTTGTTAATTTTTTTGTGTTCTCAGACAAACAGCCAAGCCAATCCCAATCTTTGTATACACTGAAAGTCCAATGAATAATATCTTACGGATAGGATATAACTTCAGCTAAGTCCAAGATAACCTGTCCATCACATTTGGTGTTTCTCTATTGAACTTGTAAGACAAGTAGTTATTTGCCCCTTCTTATGCTGTACATGGAAACTCTTGAACTAAGGTGCAAGCTCTTCCTTTTCTGCCTTCTCCCAGCCCTTGGGGAGCAGTGCTGAAAGGGATGAAGTACAGAAGGAAGCCAAGTGCACCAGTGCATGGTTGTCCTCAGCCAAACTTGCAGGGCTTAGAGGGTGCAGAGATCAGGCACCACCCTAAACTAAGGAGCTGCATCCACCCTCCATGTGGACAGGCTGTGTATTGTACTTGTACTTTTAGCATGAATAGATGGTATATTCCACACACAAAGCAGGGACAAAAGTATCATAGCACCTTGCTACCACCATTATGTCTTTGCCTCCACCCTGAATTAGCCTCATGCTGGGATAATTTTAAATGGCCGCACGTGGTTTTGTGTCTGTCATGTTTGATTTAGATGTAGCTAGAACTAACATTCTCTGTATTTTTCTTTCCCACAGTGGTATACTGACAAAGACCACGCCATCACCGGTCAAGCACATAAGCATATTTATACCCATATGAGCCATTTCATAAAGCAGTGTTTCTTGCTGCCCTAGCACCAGCATTTTGGTTGTTAGCAATGATACTTCTCCAGAAAACACTCTAGCTAATGTACACTGAGCCAGTATAAACTTTTATGAATCAAGATGAGATAAGGATCAGCTCTTGGGATACCTGTGTACACAATGAAATGCTAATCTTTATAATGATTTCTGTTGCCAAGCTGCTATTGCATTTTTATTGATTGTGTTTAATAAGGTCTTAAAATCACCAGAGTGTAGGTATGTTGCAGACTTCTAGAAAGCATGGTACTTGCTTGAATCAGTACCTTTTGATATTTCAGTCTAAAAGAGAAACAGTCCAGTTTCTATATTAGGGTAATGAATGATGAAAACGTCACAGAGGAACCAATGTGGAGGTCAGTTGAGGAATAAAAGTAATAATGTTTCCAACAAAAAACCAAAATGAACCCTGTGATCGTTTCTGTGAAAATACTGATAAAACTTCAACCAGATTTTGCAGAAATTGCCTAATGCTTGGTCAATTATTAATTTAGAAACAATATCAGTAATTACTGCAATGTTAATATTTTCTATGCAGAATGAAACACTGTTTACTGCGATTCCTTGAGTTAGTATTTTCTCTGCAATCTCTTGGATTACAGTTGTAGAAGTCTTCCAAAGAAAGCATGTAACCAGCTTTCACCACAGATTTTTGAATGATACCTATTCAAACCAATGGCACTGAATTTGTTTCCTATCATTGTACTGTGATTTTTGCTTACTTTATAATCAAAAAGGTCGCTACTGTGGGAAGCTGCATGGGTAAGATCTTATCTGGGAACTCTAGCAGCCTACCATTGTTTCTCCTCTAAGGGACAGAGAAATTTTTTTAGAAGTTTCCTGTTTACTGATGAATAGGATATATTCCTTGCACTCAAACACAGAACATTACAATGCAAACTAGGAGTCACTTAAAGCAAGGGCTGGACTGTAACTCTCATATGAACATGCTATTTAGCAAACCTGCTCTTCCTTGCAGCCTACCAATAAATTTCTGCTTTATCTTCAGCACTCCAGGTAGGCTTCTCGATCTGAAGATAAGATTAGTTTTCTTAATGTCACATAGGTAGAAAAAAGATGCAACCCACTTGTGCTACAAACTGTGCTCCTTTAAAATAATAAAGACATTAAGTTATGAAAAGTGTAGTCTGTATCATTAAAATGTTGCTCAAGAAACTAACTCCTAGAATTTTACAAAAAGCCATTAATTTTGAGAGAAACTTACAATGAAGTTTCTGCTTTTGTTTAAGGGTATCATGTAATGGAGTGTGACATGATTATCTAACAGTTAGCTTCTTGATATTAGATGCCAGCATGTGATTATGTATGTATTGTGGGTTATTAGTGACATTAGGTGTGAATGTAAAACTACTCATACAGACAGATAAAGCATGGGGAGACTGTCAAGACAGTTTGTGCAGCTTGTCCTTAAATGAGAAAGAGAAGGGGGCCTGAGATGGAAAATAAGGTTTTGGGTTCACAAATAAACTAAAAACTCCTTGACTCACAAAATACCGGGGGTGGAGGTGGGGGGCAGAACAAACTGGAGAGGGGTACTACAGCTATAATCTTGGGCTCAATGTACGAGTGGTTCTAATGTGTTAAACTGTTCTGTTAAAGTTCTATAGGATACAGGCTGTCACTTGTCTCTAAAAGGTTATAGTATCCATGTCTCCTGATTCTTTTGACTCAAGGGAAAGTAACATAAATCAGTATAAAGGTAGATCACAGTAGTGCAGATAAGTTATAAAAAAGATGATCATTGTGAACTTCTGGATGGCTTGTGTATGCAAGGGGCAAATAATCGGGGGGGGGGGTTAAATGTTATTACAGACACCATCATATAAAGTTATTTCTGTAATCCAAAAGCTACATTAACTAGCCTCTCATTAACTGCAAAGTACTCCCTCAGTGTAATCAGAGAAGGATTAAAAAAAAAACCACCTTTCTAACTAAAACTAAAAAATATATGGTCTGGATACATCTTTCATTAAGTAAACATTCAGTTCTTTGTATCTTTGATTGCTAGCATCTCACTGGGAAACTCTACTCTCAAGACATAGTCCTGTTTTAACTGTCTAATCTGTGAGGCATAACAAAGTACAATGCTAATTATCTTATTTGTCTGGAAAGCACATTCTAAGCTATGCTGCTAATAAAGCATTATGCAACTTTTAAAACAAAAAAATAATGTTTTATTTCTATAGTAAGTCTCCTAATAAACATCAATTGTGTCTAATTTCCTCTCTGGTAGATCTCCCTCAGCTCCAAAAATAATTCAGACAATAGGACAACAGAGTGGCCTCAGGGAACTGACAACTTCCTTGAATGCAGGAGCACAGGTAAATACCCAAAACAGGCCAGCTCATTTCATTAATGTACAAAGCCAGCCCTAGGAACCAGTTGTGCCTGAAGTAGTACCACATGCTAGAGTTAGTTAGGCACCTACCAATTACCTTTTTTCCCTCTGTAGTTTTTCCCGTGCGAAATGGATGCTTAAGTTTGTTGTACACTACACTTTGTGCTAAATCCTAACAGAAGCAGCTGAATCCAGAGGTGTGAGAACTGTTACCGTTCCCAGGCTGGGAGGCTCCCCGTCTTTGGTTTAAAAATTGGTGAAGAAGATTAAAGGGATTTAGTAAGATGGAGTCAGCACTTTAAGTATTGGGTTTTGGCAGCAGCACTAGGGTTTAAGGCCTAAAAGTTTTTCAGTAGCAGAAATTTAGGGTCCTGAGAATAGTAGAAGCTCCCACCAATAGGCAGTCGACTAAGCCGCTGTTCAACTATTTGACACTTTAAATATTGTAGCTTAAATTGTATGACCTTACCTCTTGAACAGGAAAAAGACCCAACTACTGCTGCCTGGTCCACATAATCTCTCTCAGGAGCAAGGGGAGCCAACTCCTGACCAGTAAATCAGAATTTAACTCCCACTCTCTTTCTGGAGCAGGCCTGTTATGTGCCATCCCTAACAGCACGCTTGCTTACAGTTAGAGACAGACCAAGTACACCGCCATCAACTACGCACAGCAAGCCAACACTGACAGCATTGCATGTTTCAATGAGGTTCCACTTGGAAATAGAGCAGGACTGGGCTCTAGAATTCATTAACATGGGAAGCACATTCAGGTGTCAGGTAGACATTTAAAATACCACACCCATACTGCATGCTTGATCTGGATTTTGCAGGGTAAAAATAAAATTGAAAATTAGTTAGGATAAATATTTATTTTCACATAACATTTCTTAATTGTGAAAAACACAATAGTCTATTCACATGTACACATAAAGTTTTGTAATAAATTACATCCAAGAAATTGAGTAATTTTGACCAGGAATATGAAATTAGAAGTAAATATAGCACTACATTTCCTTTATATTGTGTGTGATTTCAGAATGTTAAGATTAACATTGTAATAGCATTTAAATTCACACAAGAACGGAGTGACTGTTTTGAAATAAAACCACTCTGAAATACTGAACAGAAATACAGAATGCCATTGAATACACTGATTTCTTAATATTCTAATGGTTGGTCAAGTGAAACTAATATGTTTCGATTGTATACATTATCTGTAACAAAGCAACATATTAAAACACCACCAGGCAGCTTCCGGGACAAACCAGTATTGAACTGCTATACTAACCTTAAAACAATTGGAATCTTACAATTTATCATCAAGTACACAAAACAAAGCATTTAACCTTAATGCATCAGCATTTTTTTCCTAAATTTACAAATACAAACATTTAATTTAATGTAAATCCTTCTTTGTGTCCATTAGATTTTTTTTTTTCTCCATAAAAATGGCCTTTAATAATGCTAAGTCAAATTTAGAACAGTGACCCTATTAGTTTGCAGCAAAATGCAGTTATCATTTATGGCTAAAGTAGTAAAACACACTCATACACACAAAAACATTAGAAGGAGTACTTTAAATGTGCTGGATGTGAAAAGTTGCTCACATGAGGTCTACAGAAGGATTATTGTATTTTGGAAAGCTGGGGAGTGTTAAAGCCCTGTGGATGAGTTGCTATAAAGATTACAAGACTGTAATTCTTAGTTGTAGGATTCAAAGTAATAGCATAATAATTGAGAGTTAGCTTTCATTTAATAATTTAAAAATTTATTTTAAAAAAAAATTTAAAAATCAGTGAATTTCAAATAACGCAATACCTGATCTCGCAGTCCTGGTTTTACACAAAAGAACAGCTTGAAGGATCAGGCAGTAACAAAATCCATTATGAAAAATGTCTCTGTAATGGCTTTAAAGCCCCATTTTTCTTTGCAGTGTTGTTTTTATCTTTCAGTCAATATGTATGTGATGGAATAATGAAGAGCTGTAACTAAACCAACAGCAAGATACCCATTCAAGTATTATACACAACTAATCTCTGAAATTAAGAGGTTGATATAGTTGTTATTAGAGAGAAGACAATATAAATACACCCTTTATGTGGCTGTATTTTAGCTAATAAAGAGGAAAATCATTGGGCAGGTGATATAACTGCATGTGGGGTAGTTTGTATCTACAAAATTTTCCCTATTACAAAATAATGGATTGATTAATGACATAATGCAGTTGTTTGGCCTACCATGGCAACATTCATACAATACAAGATAAAATACTGTAATCACAGATTGCATTTTAAGAAATACTGTACCCCTGTTTCACATCAAAGGATGTGGTGGTGTTTTTCAACTAAGGTAAGAGAATGTTTTAATATATATATTTTAATATATATGTATATATATATATGACTATGTTCCAGTTACATACAAAGTTGAATATTAAATACACTGTATTAAATCAAGGAAAACTTCACAAATACAGAATCTGACCCTGCAATCCTCATTGCAAGAGTAATCCATAACTGCAAAAGGACAGCTTGAGGAAGAAAGGATTATCCTTGTTAGTTTGTTCACAGGGTCAGTTCAGTTGTTGCTTTAAAAACTTCTTTAATGTTTGCTTGTCAGTTTGGGTCTCCTGAAATCATTTACTCAAGTTTGGTGATTTAAAAAAAAAAAAAAAAAAAAAAGAAAGAAATTGGAACAAGTGGTTTCAAGTTCATCTTGAATGAAGATTATTAAGTATTCTCACACAGAAAAAGTAGCAAAATACAGTACAAACCTATTAACAGGAAATTTGAAATAAACTTTGCTTGTTGAATTTATGATACAAATACTAATAAATGGCGAATATCAGCAAAGAACATGAAGATTTTTTGCATTGGCTACTGCAGACTTTTACACAGATACTAGACAATGTAGACAAGGTGAAATGAGACAAATATTGCACTACATTACCTGTGCTAGTTTGAGATGAAAGACAAAAAGTTACAAGGTCAAATCATTTATATTTAGTCATTGTGGCACTCCTTTCATTTGTTTGTAAAAAAATTAATTGAAGAACAAGTCATAGACAAGTCTCCCGGTCAACACCTTTCCCTGAGTCAGCTTTCTTCTCTTTTCTGATTTCAGCACTAGGAAAAGAAGGAAAAAAAAGTGTTACAGCAGCACTATCATATATATTAATCATCTGCCCGAAAACCAACATTGCACTGGTATTTTAATTAATTTTTCATGCTGCGTAGCACAAACTGGGAAGCAAGTGAAAGTTGCTGTGCTGAATGGTGCAGAAGACATCAGCCAGCATTTTAGTAACAAGGTAGGTACAGAACTTAAGATGTACAGACAGACAAGTCAGCCAGCATGCAAGCAAAGATAGCCACTTTTTTTTTTTCTTGTTTTTTGGCAAATACAACTGTTAATTGATTAAATAATGGTAATGGTACAGTTCTCAGACAATACCAGCATTTTCTTAAATGGCGCAAACAAGAGGTCACAATAAGTATTTCTTGTCTTTAAAATGTATTCTGTTGCTCAATGTACATTTAGAAGGAATGTTTCTGAACTAGAGCAGTGCAAGCCAATTTCCAACTGTAATATTTGGCTTTCAGTCTTGACTGGGGAGAGCAGGAGAAGGCCACGGTGGTGAGGAGTGACAATATTCCCCATTTGGAGCTTGATATATACTTCTTCATGTATACATTATAAGGAAATAACTTTTTTTTTTTTTAAAAGCCTGAAAGATCATACAAAAGCCGTATCACTAAGAACTCTGAAGCAGAGTTCAAATTTGGATTCAGCATTTTTCTACTTAAAACACTGTTGATTTGCCTACAGAAAGCAATATATGTGCAAAGCAGATGATTTTTTTTATTTTAGTGAAGAGGGTCCTAATTTACAACAGCGTAAATAAATAAAAAGTCATGTTCTTGCAATGAATTTCAATCACACTAGGAAAATGGCAGAGGCTTCCACAACACAGGCAAATCAAGCCTTCAACAAAGAGTGGCAGGGTATCTAAAAAAAAGATGGTTCTGAAAACAAACCTGTATCAAGCACATAACCTACCAGGTTTCATGGGAATAATTCCTTAACTAGAATGAATGAGAAATAGGCTGTTACACAAGGCTTAAAGAAAGCAAGATCAATTCTCAAATTCTTAAGGTGATTCATGCACAATTTTACAATCATCTGACATTTTTCTTCACATAAAAATTGCTTTAAGGATACAATTCAGTTCAACCAAAGCTTACTTCTAACCCTGTGGCAGCTTCCAGAGGTGTTAATGGAAATAGCTAAAGAATACCAACTTCTGCCACTTCAACTGCCAAATCTGTCACCTTCTGTAGAACAGTGATAGAATTGGGTATGTTACACATTTTGCACACAAAGGGTATGCAAACAAATTCCTGGGGGGGTGAATTTAAAGTGCAGCAGTACAGCAGGCAGTTACCTGTGCTTAATAAAAGCAAACACTGAGGATGTGTTGTGTGCCTTACAGTCTGTAATATTTCCACATTTCACATGCCTCTGTGATACCAGGAAAGTCTTCCTTCTGTTTAGGATTCACATCTCAGCATCTCCTGCGGATGTGGGCTTTAATGCCTCAAGAAATTTGAAAAAAAGAGGACAAGTCCAGTCTTCTACCAGTAAAACACACATAACTGGTGGATCTGTAAGGGACTTAGAGCCCTCTTCCTCCCTACCAAGGGAGTAGTCTAATAAGCCTGAGAAGGAAGGTTTGGGATGTGGGATTTGCATATCTTCAGGTAGAAAGGGGAACACATACCATCTACCTAAGTGACAGATGCCTCTTTCTCCAACATTTTAAAAGACCAGCTAGGACTACCTTCTACACATGTTTTGGAATTGCTATCTGAAGGGCTTAATATTATAAGCAAAGACAGAGGAATACTTAATTACATGTACCAAAGAGGGCTATGTTTCAGATAGGTGCCTTGGTGTTCAATTCTACGAAGACAGGTTCAAAAGCAGACCTTTAAGTAGGTCCCTAGGACTTTTAATAATGAAAAATTAAGGTTGGAAAATTATAGAGTTCATGTGCCTCTATGGTTAGACAACAGTTCACTAAATTTAAGTCCCCTCTTCAGACCCTTAAATCCTGTTAAGAGTCTGGGATGTAAGAACTGTCACACAGTACACTACTACACAGAGCCGGGGCAGGGCAGAGCTTACAATAGATACTATCCATGCATCAGGCTAAGAAGTCGTTTGTATAATTGGTTAGCCTTTCATTGGCCAAGTCAACTCAGTGTTTAATTAGTACGAAGAACTTCCAGATTTTATGTATTCCAAAAATCACTCTATGTATGTTGTTAATCGATCAGTGCCTTACATAAAAGGCATTACATGAAATCATAGTACAGTATCATTTAATTATCCCTATTTAATAATATTTTGAGATATTTGTATACGAAAATAGATGTGACAACAGGAAAAGGAGTACTAAACACTTCTTTAGTTGAACTTGAAAAGGCATCAGTAAAATTAATTTCAAAACAACGTGATTTTTTTTCCCCTATGGTAAGATACCCTTCACTGCAGGCAATTGTGTAATGTAATACTGGTGATCTTGATCATTTGCAAAAATTATTGTTATGACTGTTACCATTCCAAGCTTTCCTTTTTCTCAGTACTTAGGATTGAATTATATCTTCATGTAATGATACATGCATTTAGGAATATAATGTTTCTTTAGCTCTGTCTCTAACATGATTTAAGATTAGTATTGTCTATGGTTTTGCTTATCAGAAAGCAAGCCTTCCAGGTTTAAAGTTCTTTGAATCTACTTCTGTCTGGCAATCTGACACAAGTTAGAGCACACGAAAAAGCAGGATTTCAGATTCTTTAAGAGCTTGTTTCCTTTACAACAGAACACTCATACCTAAAACCATAAAACCTGTGATCCCTTAGTTCCTTTTCACCCGAGTCTTTGTTTTCATGAGCAAAGATACAAGAACAGATTGAAAATGAGCTCATTAGAGAATAAGTTGCTATTTTACTGCAGTGGAAAAGCCAAATCACCTTTTACCAATGTTGTCTGAACCAGAGTCTATGAGGATGCTCTTTGCTCAAAGCATCTTTGAAAATTTCAGGTAAAAAACAGTACATGTTTACATAATCTATCATAAAATCAAAGCATGCAACATCCACCAGAAGAACTACAACTACTGCACAGCCAGTGGCTGTGAATGTACTGCATCAGTTTCTTCTCTTTGTCCAGGCTGTGAAAGCCTGGACAACAGAGGCACAGAAGGTAAGAAAACCCTACTGTACATCCTTCTCCCATGCACCACACTGATTTCACTGTGACAGGATCCTTTTCAGCCCATGTTTAGGGTGGAACACCAATCAGAACTACACTGCTATTTTGATCGTCGGTGAAATAGCATTAACATGATCACATAAGTGGGCTGCTCCATGGGTGTCTGAAATGAAGATTCTCTGGTCATCAGCTGTTCCATCTCATTTACGTTGTTTCGGGAAAGGAACAACACTGACGGGCAGCATGCCATTTTAGGGTAACAAAATTTAAAAAATGTATTTCACTACAAAATTTTTTCTCTTACTGTATCTTTTCACCATAAAACAATGACTAGCTGTTTCAAACATGGAGCTTGTTTTGAAAACTGGATTTAGAAATGGGCAGAATATAATTTTATATTTTTAAAAAGTCAAAGAATTCATGAAAAAGGATTCTAGGAATAAATTCAGTTTAACATTTAAATGCACTACATCTACAGTTTCTATTTTTAATACACAATAAATTTCAAATTTTCATATTAAGGACTTTAATGAAGACATTTTACATTCCTATTTGAAATTTCTTTTCATTCTATCTCCCCCCAAACTACACAAGGTCAAGTCATTTGGGTTGCTAGGTGACACCATTTTGAATTGCAAGATACAATCAAGGAAAAGGTTGGCGGACAGCGTCTTACCTTTGGGCAATCAGCTTCTAGAGTGATTAGGAAGGGGGAGCTTATGACAAAAACGTGATATGAAACAGTTAGGTAGAAAATAGTTAAATTTAAAATTTATGGGAACAGAGGAAAATTTCTCTGACAATCACACTTGTGCTTGTATATAATATTTTCTTATTCCCACAATAATTCTGTAGCACAGATAAAACGTCGTTGCTTCATTTTACATTTGTCTGGACTAAATTTTAAAAGTATTTAACTGTTTTGAGGACAAGTGAAGTAGGCAGAAAAATGAAAAGTGATGCAATCTTAAAATTATTTTCATTCCAAATATTAGTAGATTGCATTCAGAGTACTGGGTTCTTCATACAGATATTTCAGGGCAGTGATGACCACTTCTTTTTCAGGAGGAAAGAACAAAAGCAAGCAGATCAAACACAACAGCTGTTGTGCAATATCCAGGTGTAGGCTGGTGGTTCATTACACAAGCATCAGGCATGCCCAACTTCATTTTCCACTGTAGCATAACTAAGTAGCATGCAAATATTTGTGATTTTTTTTTCCCCATAAATAGTGCATTTGTGTTTTGAGCTCAGAATATTATGACTGGACATAAATAAAAGGAAACCTCAAGAAATAAAACTGCAAGATGCTAAAAATCTTTCTAATCCCTAGCAAAATATTCTAATACTGGTTTGACACCAATATATAAAGTATAATGCAATAAAAAAAACATTAAAACCTTTTAGAAGAAAAGCTTGACTCCTTATCTTTTGCATTCTCTGAGGATATCAACAATGTCTTCCACACAGCAGTTTTTGCCATTTCATCAGAAATGTTTATCACAGATGGGTCATCTCTAAGCAAGAATAAAAGTAAATACACAATAAAACAATGAGCAATCAGTCTTTGTTACTTATTAACTCTATAAAAGTCCTTGAAAACTGATAGTGATGACAATAAATAAGTGCAATGTAAGTTAAGAAATTGTTAAACCTCAAAAATCCTGAACAATGACTTAAATATTCTGTTAAAACATCTTAGCACTTTAGTATTTTCCTCATCCAACAGCAATTCATCACAGTAACATCAATAAAATATATCGTGTCACTTCCAACTAACAGACAGAGAAAAATGAGGAACTGTGAAATTAAATATTGCCCAAGATCTCACAGCATGCCAGTGGCATAGTTGGATTAAACAAGAATTGTAAGAGCTCCTAACAGTTCTCAAAATACTTATGCTCTGAAACTCCACCTGCTTTTAAAACAACTGTAAAAGCAATCAAAAACCTTGACAAAGTCAAAGATTTAAGAGATCTAATAAAAATGCCCCAATTAAACAAGCTAATCAGTAGCATTAAGCAGCACTTTGTAGCCATTATGCCCCTAGCTTTACCTAGACTGCTCCAACTATGTATTCGTACACTTAAGAATGATAAAGTCTTAAATGTTTTAAGGGCCTGCCTGTACATTATTCCTGACTTCATGGTTTACATATGGCTTGACATTCAGTAAGCTGTCAGTAAACTTGTTTTCACAATGTTTTGGGGAACCTCTTTATCAACCGATGTCCTGACTCTTCTTTTTAGCTGTAGGACTGTGACCCTTACAGTGCAGAAAGTCAGATATTATACGGGCAACTGTACCTAAGTAAACACACTATAGATCAATACAGATCACACCCCAAGATAAATGAAGCTAAGTATTGCTAATATAAAACAGAACAAAAGCTGTGGACAAAAGAAAAAAACCAGACCATTAGAAGTGTGATGAATCAAAAGTAAGAAATAGGCTGGGATTTTTCAGAGACACAGTTAGTTGTTTGCCTTAGGAGACATTAGGGTAGCTTCATGTTAAAATGTAAGAAAGGAAGCCACTCTGAGATAGTGTTCCTATGAACTCACATTAATGCAGAGGTTACTATTACCAGATATTTCAAATCTTTATAAAGAACTTTATTTCTGAAAACTGTAAATGACAGTAAGTGCTTATGGGCTGGCTACATGTTACTACTATCTATAACATAAGTTTTCACGCTTTTTAAGTTTTGTCAACCCTGCATTATGCCTTATCTACCCTGGACAGCTCTTGATTCACTTACTATCTCACATAGATAGGATCTTAATTAGAATGTTTTAAAATGTTACACTGTAAGAACCTAGTTTTTCTGTTGTGTCTTCAGAACCTTTCCTGGCTCCCTGTTAGCATCAGGGTGAAGGGTTTGACCTGCTCTACATCTTTGTTTCACACTGTGCATGTCAGAGGCCAAGGTTCATTATGAACAACCTGATCCTGCAGTCCTGCCCAAGGGAAAACTTCAACTAGGAGGTCCTTTTCCTAGGCGCTGTGAGAGCACGTGGAAACACTAGAAAAGGGCTGAGCTTATTAAATGATGCAGTATGTGGTTCAGTTCACCTATCTGTACTCTACTACCAGACAAACATCCTCCTGACATTCAGTAAGCATTAAGAATAAATATTGTGGCATGTTTATTTGTTTAATTGCAACTCACCTAAAAGAGGAAAGGTATATTTTACCTGTAATGTCCTTCTAGTGGTAACTGAACAGTCCCTTCCTCTTCCATTGCTAACATACTTTGCTCTTCCTAGAAGGAAGAAATTTAGATGTGAGACAGGATATGATGTTGTGAAAAGTGGAATTTATGTACTTTAATCCTCTTCCCCCTTCTCTTTAAGTATTTATCTGAAGTTCTTAAAGTAAGGTACTTTTCAACTCTTAATTTAAATATTTGACATTTAAACCCCTGTATTTTAAAAGACATATCTTCACTTAATGTTATTTTTCAATGTCAAATAGAGGTGACACTTGTAACAATAAAGAAAGAGAAAAATTAGTAACACTGAGTGAGCAACTGTATGGTGAATTTGAAATATCATGCATAACAGCATATATACATTACAATGTTAACATGCAAAATTAGGGAAGTCAAGTTTGCACACACACAGTTTTAATACTGATAAAAGTTTTATTGCGACAAAAGGTAGTGAAACAAGACACCAAAATTAGTTTTCACTTGAACAGGGAAAAAACTTCTGTGAGCAACAGGCAGTGAAGAGAACTAGGAGACGTATCTACCAAAAATCTTTTTGTGAAATAATTACAACTTTAGAAAATCTATTTTAGGGGGAGGGGAGAACAAAACAATACCCCTCAAGCACCACGTCCTGCCTGCAAGAACAAAGGAAAACAAGTCTCTGTCTTTCAGACATCAACTCAAGGCTCCACAGGAGGATTCTCAAGGCTTACACCCCTGTTAGGTCACAAAAACCACAGACAGGAGGTTAAAGTGCCTTCACATGAATGTAACCATCAAATCCTGCCCTAAACTGTTGCACTGTGTGTGTGTGAGCATTAGCAGACACCCAGAGACCTCCACATCTTTCTTCCCTTTATTAGATGGCTTTGTAACAGTTTACCCTGATGCCTGTTTGAAAGTGTGAGTTGGCTCTCCCAAAAAGAGAGCTCACCATTTTTCTGGTAGACCACCCAAAACCCTACATGCATCACACACACGGGTAAGTTGGTATTAGTTGGAAGAGCCAGTACAATTTTCCAAAATAGTAGAATTTAAGTCCTCTCTGCACAGAAATTTGTTTCTTCTATGTTTTCCTATTATAACTATTTTAAGTGTCACAACATTTTTTTCTCCAAATGGGAGAAGCCACTTCGTTCATTCCTGTCTCAGGAAGACTTAATTGATTAACATCAAAGTGGCTTCCAAAGGAGGTCTGTGAGGAGAAGGCATGTATAAGATCCACTATAAATGTACAAAGCCTTGCAAAAACATGGCCTAAAAATATAAAACAACTTAAGTGATGAAATTAGGATCCAATCAAATAAGTTCCAGATCTTGTCAACTATATTTCTGAATATTCTTGTGGGTAGAAAAGTTCTATTTTTAAAAGCCGTGTGATAGCAACTCTCCAATTAATTCCTTAGGCTACATGTCAGAAGTTTTATTACTAGTTAATTTTGTCATTTCCAGGCTTCACAGCTTCATAAGTTTTTGACAGTTGAACAGTTTTAATAATAGCTCCAAATATTTAGAAATGCCAAAATATGTAAAAATAACCTCTCAAAATAGACAGTGAATGAAATAAAGTAACACCAGTACATCTTCCCAGTTTTGTTTTCTGATGCCATCCTATCAAGCATGGGAAGGAAAGTGACATATAACCAAAACATAAGGATAACAAGGAATCTTTCCAATAACCAGACCCACAAGAAGAGAGCTACCTTGGTTACTTTTGGTTACTCTGAATTGTGATGACAACAGATAGTGTGATGAAACAACTCTCTGGTCTGCTTCAATTCAAGGGGGAAAACAATGACTCATGTATTTTAATTTCAGCCTGATAGTTTTAAAGGCACATACTAAATAGTAAATAATCATCATGATGTTTATCACCTAGGTAAAACCTTTTCCCCAAAACATATTCTATGAAAGTATGTTGAATGTGTCAAGGAAAGCAAAGATGTAGTTCTCCAGGTTTCAGATGAGGCAGTGAGTTGTCAAAGGTCACAGAAGAATCCTAAAGGCAGAGAAATCTAGTTTTCCTAGTTACCTGTTCAAATTATTGGTTCATGTTCTCTTTCTGCAAATAGACTTACCAGTGGGAATCCTGACACACACCATTTCACTGGTCTCAGATCGCATCTCAGGGCATCCCTAAGGATAAATTACTGATTTATCCATTCACATTGTCTAGTTTCTGCAGTACCCTTGTACTACCAAAAGGTTATGTCTTACAAGTCCTGGACTTTTGCAGAGGTCTGCAGGGCATCTTAGAGGTCATATGCACAACTGTCCCCAGAGCACTCCCGCCTAGAAGTGACCACAGCCTGCCAAGACCATGTGGCTTCACCTCCCACTGCCACCACAGCCTCACATCATGCTACTATTCAAAAGTGCTGACACAGGACACACGACTCTTATTTAAAATAACCTGGCACCAACATATTCTACCTGCTGCTCCTGCAGTTAGTGTTTCCCCATCGATACTTGTCCCTCATTCATTTGGGCCCAGTACTGAGGTTCCCTAGCAGGTGACGTTGATCAGGTGGCTAATAACAGGGACAAAGGACAAAGACCTCCGTGCCTTACACATACAGTTACTTTATGTTCCAACAGTTTTATATCATATGCAAACAAGCAATTCATGAAGCAGCAGCTAGATGAAAATACTATCAAATAGATGCAAAACTGTTAGAAAGCTACAATCAGAAAAATAAGTGTTTCACTGTCAAAATATAGGAACATTCTGAGTAGAAATGTGTAAGAATCTGTCCTGTATCAAGTTTATAAGAAATGATCTGAAATGCATATTCTTTGAAAGGAGATGAGGAGTCCAGATCTGAAACAGTCAACTGGGTGGTAATGCCACAGGCTGTAAGTAAAAGTCAGGATTTGGTTAACAGGGGTAAGCAGCGTCACTGACCTTTTCATTAGGAAGTGGAAGTAAATTGTTTCTGCAGCAGCAGAAGGAAAATGCTGGCCCAGAGTGTAATAGGGATACTGCACAGGATTATGACACTGCTGAGCGGAGAGGGCACAGAGTGATGGTGTGTGACCTATGTATGGCTCAGATGTAGCTGGACGTGCCATGCCCCTCAAATTCTGCAGTGCTCTCCTCAGCATCTCCAGCAGGGACGAGACCAGTCCCAACACAGCATCAAAGTGCCCCAGGCATCTGAGGGCTTTCCTACAGACACAGGTTCATCCCTGCACATCATCTGAGTGGGTCTCAGGAGCAATCCCCAGGAGCTCTGTAGATACTGTGTTATATGACAGTATGGCAGCATAAGAATCTACATCTAATAGACATCCCCACCTAAGCCTATTAGATTTGTAACCTTAAAAGGACTTATGTAAAATATGACAACATTACACTTTGGATACTGTTAACAAGTCTGCCTGTTGCATGGAATAGGCCTTATTTACAGAATTTTCTCTAACTGTCTGAAGGAGAAATTGATAAAGTGCTACACAGCAAAAAAACCCTGAAACCATGACCCACCTCTTTCTCAGCATCTTCCAGTTTCTTTTTCTTGCTCTCAGGCATCAAATCATCTAACCAACTGAGCTCCCGCTTAGTAAAAAAAAAATCCATGAGTTTTCGGACAAATACCAAAGCTAGGACCTGTAAAGATGTTAATTCAAAGAATTAGGAAATTAAGTAAGTAAAACTGACAAATATGCTTGTAGAGGAATACTTTCAAAAGTGACCACAGGTTACAGCTAGAATTTTATTCTTTAATTTGGATATGCCAACAACTGGTCTTCCTTTGTTCAGATAAGTATGGCTTTAAGCGTTTAACAATCACTGAGATCAGTAGATATCCTTTATTTTCAACTAGTGAAATGATCAGAGAGAGATCACTTAAGAAGCAGAACAAATTTGTCTTTTATTTCCAGCAAGACACAGAACTATCAGTAAAGTTCCTCAGTGCATTGAACGATCTTCCTTAATGAATGAATGTTATTTCTATAAAATGATTAAGCACTACTCCTTAAATAAAAACATCAAATAATTTTTTAAGAGAAGAATTTTCCCTAAGAGAATATACAGTTGGGCTATCCACACATATAAACAGACTGCAACCTAGACTATATGTTATAAGACTATAGGTTATATGTAGAATTTTTCCTTACTTAATACAGTATGAATTGTCCTTGAACATTGAATCAAAGGAATACTGTAATTACCTGCCCACATTTAATTTTTTTCTTCAATAATAATGATCCACAAGTGAAAAGAAAATGGATTTTTAGAGGAAATTATGAAATATTTCATACCATCATAGGAAAGACAATGGCAGCTCTTGAAACCTTTATAATCCACAGAAGCACAAGACAACTCAGCTGAATTACAGTGAAGAGATGGACCTTTCTAAGAGGAACATGCCTCAGATAAATAAAATCTGGCTGATGCTTTGCAGGCATCCAGAATAACTTTATCCTGTCAAAAAGCTGGAAGAGAAATTTTTAAAAGTTTGCATTAAAATGAGCTGTAGGATTATCTATGCTGACATTCACACACTGCCTAAGAGATCCTGAATATCTAAGAATTTGGCTTGTTATTCTAAAGGCAAAAACTATGTGGAACTTCAGGAGCACAGAAAAAGACTACCTCAGTTACAATCATGAGCCATGAATCTATACTCGTCCAATGGTGTTAAAGGACTCATCTCTCTGGCTGAGCCACCAGAGTAAGAATGAGAATTGTATTATTTAAGTAAAGTTTAATTATTTGGTTAGTCACACTTCTTAAGTTCCTTTCAATTTTAATACACATTTGTCTCCCTAGGTATTTCTATAGCAGATGTGCTGAGATATTGGATTCTGCTGAATTCTGTATAGTCATACTCCAGGAAACATCCTGCTCATAACTGCATAATATGTTATACACAAAGAAAATAGTTACTTTAAAATAGTACTGCTAAGATTTCAAGTCAAGAACCCTTAAAGTTAGGCAAAGTCAGACTTCAAAGTAGACGTGAATCAATCATGAATCAAACTGAATGGAAGCTGGTTGATCCTGTTGTGCAGATGCACTATTGCACCGCCTTTCCAATACATTCTAAACTTCTGGTTTTCAACAACTGAGCTCTGCTTCCTTTAGCACACAAAAAGCTGATCGTGGAGGGATCTCTTCAGTCTTTCATCTCCTGTGGATGAAACTTTTTCTTTCCCCCCAGCTTACTTCACCAGACACTTTATCCCAGGCTGTTTTCTTTTCCCTATTGCACTTTCTTCACACAACCAGGAACAAAACCAAAAAAAAAAAAAAAAAAAAAAAGAAGGAATGCCAGAAGGGCAAGTGCCATGCCGTCAGGAATGTACATGAGAGGTTCTTGTTTTTCAGACCTATTTGGCATACTGACCCGAGGCTTTGTGTCAGCTGCTATGGCACAGTGATGATGGTGATGCACCATTTCTCCTTGCATGGATGAGCCATGCTATATTCATACAATCTTCAGGAATTTCAAGTTTCAGGAATTTTTACTGAGCATGTGCAAACTGCATTTTTTTAAAGGCTTATGATTTGGCCAGATTTGAGCAGATTTCATTTTCACAGAAACAGCAAAAAGCACATCCTCCCACAAAAGCCATCTTATCAAATCTCCATTCCTTGTCCCAGCTTGGGGGAGGGAAAAAAGGAGGGGGATACTATCACTTTTCCAAGTAAAGATAGCCAAATTTTAGCATGCCTTAAAAACACTCCTCAATAGTGTACTTTCTCATACCCTTGTTCTGAGAAACAGCTGAACCATATTAAGTTGAAATTATCTAAACCTCAGTAAAAGCCAAACTATCAACCCAAATGATAAGAGCTAGGTAAAGTTACAGAAGAAGTCTCTGAATAGAAAACAGCAGTCAAAAACCAAGAGATGTTGCCAGCTTTGCCTACAAATAATAGAGAGGTAAAAAAAAGCAAGACATTTTTAACTTGCAATCAAAAATTTAAATATAATGAAGGAAACAATCAGGCATTTTCTTTGCTCTTTGTACTTAACAACCTTTTGCACAGTGAAATTCATGTTTTCATCATGTGATTGTTCTTTCTCAATTGTCTTGGAAGATGTATCAATACCTCAACTTTCAATAACAAAGGCACACTTGAAAATTTGAGTCTTTGTGTCAGATGGGCTAAAAGATTTGACACCATGACATTTAATGCTGCAGTCATCCAGGAGAAATGATACACAGCATACCATAACCAACCCTGACCTGAATGCTGGAGCACCTGGCTTCTGCCAGGGGCTCCTACTTAAGGCCACTGCAGGAATGCTGCCCTTCCACTAGACTTGCCTTTCATCCCTGAGGCCAGAAATTAAGTAGCATGGGACTTGCAACAGTTCCCCCTGCCTGGGGCATTTATTTTCACAGGAAAAACTTTCAAAGTCTTGCCTATGTTCGTTTTAGGGCAAGTTAGCCAAAAGCCTCATATAGGCAAAGTTCAAGATCAAGTGTACCCCTACAAAGGCACTTACTTAGAAGCTGAAAAGGCAGCAGGCAAGCAAGTGAACGGTGAGGCAGAGGAGAGATAAGATAGTTGTTACTCAGCTTTTAGGCTCAGCCAAAATTCCCTTGATAAGAAGGGAGACCAGAAAAATCGGCACATAAAAAATAAAAAATTGGAGCACACTACCTAAGGGGAATAGTCTATTTAGAGAGAATCCATTTTCCTTTTTAAGTGAGTCACTTTCAAGAATTTAAGGTTGGCAACATTCTTTTAAGATTATACACAAAAGATAATAAAATAATATCATAAGAATAGCTACAGATTTTATAGAAAGCATCATCAGTAACAGATTCTTCATAAATCCATTTTACCTGAATTCCCTTTAGAGACGAAGCACCCATGTAAAGAAATACTCCATAAAGTACTGGCATAGGAATAAACTGCACAAACAAGCAGAGAAAGGGAAGAGCATATTAAATACCATTTAACAATTTTAAATGCTTCTAGAAAGACATTCTAAACAGTTGAAATTCAACGTGCCATATGCCTGCATTAATCAGACAAGTTGTAAATTCAGAGTCACTCAATTACAAATTAATAATGTTTCTCAGAGTATAAAGCAAAATAAGAATCTGGCTCTACAGTTTTATTTTCCTCTCACGGCCAGTTACTACAATATACTTTATTCACTATTAATAAAATTAACAGAACTACACAAAAAATAAAAGTGTTTGATACATACTTAAATTCTTTACTTAAAAGACTGTGCCGGAGAGCATCTGAATAGTAAAGCTATAATCCTCAGAAAAATATTCAAGACACACACAAAATACTTTGTACTGCTAAAAGAAATGTTCTGTGCTACAAGCATTCAAAAATGGGTGAATTACTTTTATAGAATGACTTTGTAAGAGCCTATTTTAAATGTTCAGACTCTCAGTATACAGTGTGTAGGTAAAGGAATATTTCCATAGATAAGTATCTATTTTAAATACTAAATACACAAAACACATGTTCTGTGTGTTTTCAAAGTGAAGGGTTTTGATACACTTAATAAAATACTGCTGGGAAGTACAAGTTCTAAGGGCTTATTGCCTTCACTGTGACAACATGCAAGTCTAAATTCTGGTCTCACTGAAGCCAGTGGCAAAACTCTCACTGATTTCACAGAGGCCAGATAATTCTTAAAAATAGTAAGTATTATGTATATAGATTGTATAATACATGCATGTAACTAGACACCCACTTTCAGGACACTGGTGAGCTGCGTTGAGTATACAGGGAGCATGAGACAATTTTCATGTTCATTTCCAAGAAATGAACACAGAAGTTCTCTTGCAACTGTGAAAATACTTTTAAATTATCCAGAAATCACAGAATGTTTTTGAATTTTCTAAACAGATTTACTTACTGGTATAACTTAGCAAGACTGTTTCATGATAATTTGCCACAGGCCCAAAATATAGACAAAGGGTGAATCTTCATATACAGGTCAATGGCAGAATTCCCTTTGACTTCAGTCAGGCCAGATTTTCATTACAAGGTTTTTGTTTTAAACATGTTAGATGTCCCTAGTTAAAACATGTGTTTTAAACGTGTTAGATGTCCCATTTTATTGCGCAAAATCAGAATTCCACTTTAGATTATCATTGTGTAACATTATGCTAGTTAGTAATGTGCCTGGAAAGGGCACTCATTAAACAATACCGTAACAGTGAAATGTTCAGTGCAGTGCAGTATTCTTTAGCTTTTCCTTACTTCCCCAAATTACCTTCAGGATACTTGTCAAAAAGACAGATGAGCCCATAAGGATAAAAATCATGAGCCCTGTGACTCTTTGCTCCCGGATTCCAAGAAACTTTGGCTGCTCCCCTGGAGCGGAGCACTCTGATTCCAGTTTTAAGCTATTCACATGGGAAATAGAGAGGACAGTGGCTGCAACAAACCATGGCAATCCCATAATAGAGCACACTCCAAGCATGACTGCCACCATGAGTAGGTCGAGATGGTATCCACATCCTTTCTGTTAAAAAAAGTAACGACAGCAAGAAGATATAAAATGACATCTGAATTAAGGATAACACTCCTGGCAGGCATTCCTAATGAACACTTAGAGACAATTAAAAAAATCGTGACTTGAGGAAAAAATAGCTTTCTTCTATGTGTTATCCAGGTTGGATCAGTAGTGATGGTAAACTGGTTATCTAAGGGGAATTCCTACTAGTTCACAAGAAATGCTTAATATTATTAGACTCATTCCAGTTATGAGTTAAGTGTACATATCATAAATCCACTTTACAATGGGCAGCAAATACCCTTCCTGCTTATAAAAGAGATACTAGTAAGAAAATGGAAAATACATAAGTTTTCTGTTTTAACTAAATCCCTCCTGTGGATAACAGTAAGCAAACATCCAGCTGCACTGCCAACTTTCCACTGCACTAATCTTAATAGACCCTCCATCCATCCTTACAGAGGAGGCAGAAAATTTTGATTCTTTCCTACACAAAAATTCTTACGTTAATATTTGCAGTCAGTTTATGATATAAAAGGCCATAAACCCACAATGATCCTTTTAAAGTTTTTATAGATGGTAAGCACAGGATAGTAGTAAGTTTTCACTAACGTACTTGCATCTTATCTAAGAACAGATAGCTAGAAATGAAGAGAAATTAAACTATAAGTAAGCTATACATGAAATTAAATTATAAAATAATATTCATCATCAGGTACTGTTTTACTGGTTTCCCTATTCAATACTTAAAAGTAGCACCATAAAGACTCATATGAGAAGTCAGTACAAAACCTTTGGTGTTGGATCATCTCTGTAGTAGTCAAACACTCTGTAAATTTACCAACAGGAGGATGTTGTTTTGCTTTTGTAGTAGTAGATAAAACTCTTTGGTCAAATCTCAGATGCATTTAAAAACCTGCAAATACAACCTGCACTTGAAAATGACCAATGATCTGCATCAAGCTTGGTTGCATACATATCTGTTACCATAGCTGAGAGGGATACTTCTTTTCAATTTTAGTGAGCATCCAGGACCACCACACAGCTGCAAGCAAGAGCTCAAGCTATTTTCCTTTAAAAAGTCAGGTATTTAGTTATCTCCACAAAATTCTGCAATATGGCAACAAATCCAGTGTCATGGTCTGATGAAACAGTGATGTTCATGCAAACAATGTGAATATGTTGAACCATAATTTTGCCTGTAAACCCATGCAAATGCCTTTTGACATAAAAAAAGTAACTAAACTAAACTTGGAAAGGTTTGCTACAGAGACTGCCAAAAGCTGAAATGTGCACTATTCAGAATTTGCCATGGGAAGTATAAAAAAAGAGGGGAAAACGAGTTGGAAGCAAACAAATCATTTCTTTCTGAAGACAACTTTTACTTCTAAAATGGGAAGCGTCTGGGTTTATGAAAATGTAATCCACATAGCGAAATGAAAATGCCATCTTATTTGCTTACATTATTTAAAAAGGGGAATTCATATAAAGTAAAGAAAATGAAAAGAATCAACTCTAGCAACCTTCCCTCACTCCCCAAAAGTGTTTATGAGTCTTATCTCCAAGACACATCTTGACAAACTCAGAGATGTGTCAAACACAGATATTAGTTACATGCACAATGCACTCAAAGAAAGAGTTTCATTCTAAATCCTAAGAGAGACACCTTTTTTTACCTTCTGACACATTTATGAGGAATGTATCTGCTAATGCATACAGAATCCGAGAGCATTTCCTCACATTCATACATGATCTGAGGAACCTGACATATGGGAAGAAAAGGAAGCATAGCAACAGGTGATGCTACACCAGACCCCAGCAAAACTAAAACGCAGCAAGACAAGGGGGCAGCCAGGAGGACCATCTGACTCCCAGATGCCAGTGCTGAAAAAACACATTCCAAAGCTTGGCAGCAAATTCCTGCATCTGTCAAGTTAACCACATGCAATGCTATGGATTGACATGAAGAGCCAGGCTGACAAAGAGGGCAAAAAAAGAACATATCAAATGTCACAATCATCCAAGAAGAGGCAGTGCAAAGTGAAGGTTGCAAATGCATTTGCTAAAGCAACTTGGGATTGGATTGCTGCTTATTAAAAGTATGTCAAAAAAAGCCTAAGCTCGCTGCATATACATGTACAGAAACCTGCTGCTAGATTTTGCCCAACAGTTTTTCAGAGGGGTGATGTCCCTTTTTCTCTCTCCATCTGTAGGCAACTAAAGTGTTAGAGAACAGAGCAGGAAGTTGTCCTATTTTGTTTTAAGAACCCATTGTGCCTCTAAAGCTCAGTTTTATTCTTCTCCCTTCTTTAAGATAGGAAGGGCATTAAAAAAAAAAAAAAAGGGGGAAAACACAAAAAAAAAGAAAAGGGGGGGGGGGGGGAATCTTATATTACAAAATAACCCCTGAATAGTTTTTCAAAATCCAGTCCAGTAGAACAACACTGTCAATATCTGATGAGGCAATTAATATTATGATACTTCAGGAAATTATTAAATTCCAGATTTTTTTCTTTAGGTGATTGGGTATCATACTTCCAATACAGCACAGAGGATAGCACTTTTTTGATTCAGAATCTCTGTTCCAAATTACATTCATAAAGTCTTCTGTAAGGCAGCAAATCACTGACACAGGGCACAGTGTCCAACAGAGAAAAAGCGTAACAATTTAAAGGGGTGCTATATAACATATAATAAACTAGCATACTCAAGTAGATGAAGGTACATTACATAACCTGAAGCAGAAAACAACAGTGAAAATACAACTATTTGACTGAATACCTTTAGTTTGTGTTCTTTTCTATTGATAATGACAGCTGTGATCTGCTGGTCCATAAAGATAAGGATAGTGCAAAGCAGGGCCGGAATTACAGCAGCTATCACTGTCCACCAAGGATTCGGCCCCAAAGGAGTAATAAACCAGCCACGATCATCTCTGGTGGGCTATAAAAAGAGAGTCATGCATGACCAGTCAGAACTCTAAAGATTACTTACATTTTAACTTCATAAGAATACACACAAAAACATTACTAGGATATGATTTCCTTTAAAATCAATCTATGTATGTAAGAGCACAGAAAAATGCTAAACTTCCTATGATACCAAAAAGAGAAATTACATATAATAAAATCATCTGGGACATTACAGACTTGGTTGTATTTGATACAATGAGCCCAGAATTTGGACGGCACCTCAGAACATTTCAGTAGTCTAGGATTTGGGTAATTTGAGCCATGTTGGTCCTCACACAGAAGACATTAGGAAGCATGGAGGGGCCTGATGAGAAAGGCTCACTTACATGGGCCACTAATCAGAGAGGTTGCGTAGTACTTGGTGAACATGAAAAATTCAGAGTAGCATCACTACTCCCTGATGAGAAAAAAATATAATAAACCCACGACAGCACACTACTTTGTGAAAATAATAAGGCAGTGCAATTTATCAACAAATTACCTTAAAAGCGTTTGGAACCTGAAGTTTTGGTGATGGAATCCCAATGGCATAGTCAATTAAAACCATGGACAAAATAGTGAGAAAGACAGCAAAATCGCTGACAACTGATCGTACCTACAATTATTGAGAGAAACGACAATTTTAACTAAAACATTCATATATGAGTTAGGATTTATTTTTCTTCCCTGTTTTAAGCCAATTTGTGCTTACAGCTAAAACTGTGTTTATTCTGATACAATTTTCTAACAGAGAAAAGATGCAGTGTCCACTACACCAGCAGTTAATTGAATTTGCAATGCAGATGGAATTCATGCTTACACCTGACTAATGACAACTTTTGAATTAAAAAAAAGGCACATACCTTTGTTGGGAAGTATCGGCTAGTTTTGAACTGCTTCAGTGTGGATGACAGTGTTACCGTAGAAAAGAATAAGATGACAGACCAAAAGAGGACATCTGGAACATAAGGGCCATGATGACCACAGGCTCGTCCAACAAACTCTCCATGAAACTTTTTACATTCCTATCAGGGAGACCAAAGTAGTATTGTTCTGAAAAATATCCATGCTTACACTGATATTTTCTTTCCAATTACCTTCCTAAATTGCAAGCAGATTGTATTACTAGAAATAGTAAAATAATTTTTAGATATTATTCTTTTTAAAATTAAAACCCCTAATGTTTGTATCTAGTCTGCATGCAAAACTCTCAAACCTTCAAAAGAATCTCTTTTTTAACCAGTATTAAATGATGAAGTCACTAAGAGATACCATAAATAAAGTCATTAATATAAAACCAGATTTATTTCAAATTGAACAAGTATACTTATTTATTTTCTGTTTACAAACGCAGATTTGCACTTCTTAATTCCTTCCAGGAGAGGAAAGTGAAGTTCAAAAGCTACTATGAGGAAGGCTGCTCGTGGTGCATTCTCAAGAACTGATTTTTTGTTTTAACTTCACAGGCCAAGCAATTCAATAAAAACTTACTTAGAATGTACAGTATTAGCTTAAAATGAGACCAATAAATTTAATACCACATGGGGGCAGCACATTCCACAAATTATCTTTCTTAAAAAACCTGATCTGATAAAATGCAGCAAAACCCAAAATCTGTAACATTACTTCTATCCAATATATGATCAAATATGCAGATACAGTAGAAAACATGTCTAGTAGTTCTCCAATACCATCCTTAGTTGTCTAAAATGATACTTGTTCCAAGTTAACAAGCACAGAATTAAAGAGTAGCTCTAAAAATGTGAGTTACAAGCTCTAGACTCACAATCCTTTCCTTCTCCTTCCCAAATCCCTCCACACTTACTAAGCAAAAAGAAACACAGCACCCAGAATCAGAGATTTCAGACAGCAATATTCTGCCAGATCAGGATCTTTTAGTATCAAATGAACTGGGTCATTGACTCATCAGATTCACGTCACAATACTGTGGTTTGACCTGTTATGAGAATCCTTCGCTTTGAACAAAGGCTGGCAAAAAAAAAAAACCCACACAGTTGCTATTTGATGACTGCGAGACAAAGGAGTACAAAACTTTTTATACTTGTAGAGCAGCAAACCTGGCATAAATATGATGCACTTCTGACTGATGAAATAAAGGTTTCAGATGGGGAAAAAATTTTTCAGGAAATCCAGAAGAAATTCTCAAGATTCTGGGACATCAAATAGAAAACTTGTCCTGGCCTGAGCTAGACCTTGATGTTGGCACAGCAAAGGGATGAATTTCATCACATACCTACTGAAAAGGATTTTGTCACAATCAGAATAAATATTTTGCTTACTCTCATTTTGTCCTAGATAGCAAAAAAAATTGTTGGTCCTACTGCTGTTTTTAAGAGAGAGTGCCAATCTAGATCTTCAGAAACCTGAAACTTAAATCAGACACAAGAAACAACAGGAAGAAATGAGCAGTAAAAAACACAGTGGGGTGAGACTGACCAAATATTTATAGACAACTAGGTCTAATCTTTTACCGCAATTCTCTAGAACAGGAGAACTGAAGTTTCCTGATGATGCTTGCAAGAAATAAATACATGAAAGTATGAAAAATTTCAGTTATTTCTTTGACAACTATAGGGACTCATGGGGAAAGTCGGTCAGTTATACTGCTACCCGTGTAAATTCAAGTTTCAGTAATAAGCTTTTACAGAAGTTTTAAAGGGTTTTATATAATGCAGCCGGTCTTTTACATTTATAGTTAAAACAAAATCTGTTATTTTAAATCTCCTCAGCTGCAAATGTACTCTGAAAAACACTGTCAGAGATCTGAGAAAGTGAGAGGAGGAGTCTGCCCCTGCACAGATGCTCTTAAGAGTGTGCTGCAATTTTGAGAATATTCATTCCGGATTGCTGGAATCCCTCAGGCCAGCAGTTCTCAACTTTCTCTCTGCTGTTGCCACACCAACAGAGTTGAGGAGCAGTCCTTGCTACCAAGACAGGGCAGCCATGGAAGGCAGCTCTTGCTTAACTCATGATAGGAGGACACCAGTTCTTCTGCTTTCCTGCCTTTAGAAGAAAAAACAATATCTGCAGGAGACAATCCATGAGATTGGCTTTTAAGCATTTCATTTGGTTATGCCTACAGAGGTTAATTCAGTTACATTTTTGAGAGAACCCTCCAGTTTTGTGTCTTTTACACTCAATTCTCTTTGACTGCGTAATGAAATGATCTATTTGTGAGAAAAAGTGGTGGCCTGATCTCAATACGACATTTTAATCAAGTTGTAAATGTTGCTTTGAAGAAGGCAAACCTGAAGTAATAAATCTTCTAAACCTAGAGAAGTATACCATTTAGAAACAAGTTACATATATATCCATGCAAGCTCCCCAGACTGCTTGTAGCTTGTTCCCCCACTCTGGAAAAAAAAATTACAGAACCAAGACATCATTAACACTGAAGGCCTACGTAAAGAGAGAAATTTGGTCACTGAACAGAAAAGGTTACAAAATTTCTCCCCTTCCTCTCCTTTATAGCCTGAAAAGCTGTAAGAATGTTTTAGGGGAAATAAATGCTTTTGAGTCTTTCTACACAAGGGAACTTTGGTTTTGCCATCTGGCAGAATTTAGGACAAATCCGTTGTCATTTGACATGTTTAGACTTAATCTCAGTCAAACTCTTGTGCTCGTGTATCAAGAAGTTTCCAAAGCAGGGCACAAAATGCACATACTTGCTTTAATGTGTACCACCAAAGGCTACAAAATGCTTACAAAAGGAGATAATGCTACACAGTCTATGTTAATCTTTGTTCAGTTAAATATATTTTATGCTTTATCTAAACAAATATCAGAAAAAACATGGCATTTTTTCCAATATATTTGCTGCAGTAGGAGAGACAAAATTATTTATGCTTATGCCTTTATTTATTAATTAAGTTCCAATATTTCACTTACTGACACAGTTAGGTTCCCCCATGGCACATCAGATGCAGATATATTGTAGTCCTGCCAGTATTGTAAGGTTTTATTGCTGGGATGTTCTGGTTCCACACAATTGCATCTGAAAAGACAAAGTAATGTTTTTTTCCTTAATAATAAAAATTTGGATTAATATCTGATACATCTATCAACTTTATGACATATTGAAATTATGCTCTACTCTGCCAGATAATTTTAGTTCAAATTAATTCAGTAAACGCATGCTTTGAAGCAGTCTGTAGTTCAGTAGCTAGTGCTATTACTAGAGCATAAATTGCCATGAGGTGCATGTGCATATATAGTACGTAACGTGACATATTTAAACCACTGTCCACAGCAAGTTTTTCCACCTATTTTCTTCCTATTTTATTGATACTTCAAGCACAGTTTGTAACACTGAGAATGTGCCAGTCCTGTTCCACCCCCTTATACCTAACACTTCCCTACATGGGAATTAGATGCTATGCACAGTTCCAGGCTGATCCATTTCTCAAATGCAAACTGTATGTATCCTCTTTCTTTCTCTTTACCAGAATGCCTTTGCATGTAAAACTGCCAAACTGCCCGGTCAACCATCAGGGCTCTGCAAGACCACCAGCACCAAAGGCTCTGTGAACTTCTGTGTCCATTGTTTTTCCTTTCCCCACAGCTGCTTTAAAAGCATGCTTTTCATTTTAAATGGTGTATTTTAAGATACAAAACATGATTAGGTAGTGTGGGAGGACAATACTGAAAATAGGCAATTTAAAATCAAAATTAAGTTCTTAAAGCCTCTGAAGCAACTGTGGGAGGCTACTCCTTTGACAAAGGCTTCAAAATACGCAGGATACTCTGTAGGTTCCAAGATGTCGAGTGTGCTTTGCAGTTCCCTTTAAATTAATCCTACTTTTAAAATGTATAGTACTATCTATCCTGCTAGTATTTTAACGTACTTATGATGGCTGTAAATAAATTCTGTACTCTCCTTTATGATAAAGTTTTCAGGAGTAGCTGGGGACAGGGTAACATCTGACTATAGAGTGGAGAGCCATTAAGCATACATTTGCATTCCAGTTCTAGAAAAGTATCGGTTTATTCACTTACCTACACCATGTATTTTCTCTGTGGCTGTTTGTTTCCACAAAATGACAATTCTCATCCATATTTGTAATATTTTCTATATAAGAAATTCTACCACCTACACTATGAATACAGAATAGTGCCACTGTATTTCAATTACAATACTATACATGTGACAACAGCTGCATTTTATATATACATAGAGAGAGATGCAGGTTGTCTTTGTGCAATTCCTTGCTTTTATTTTAAATGCAGCTATTTATAAAAGAAAAAATACCAACCCTTACAGCCCATGAACAAAAAGAAAAGGAAAAAAAAAAAAAAAAAAAGCAACAGCATTCAGAGAAATAGAGGGCCTGAGCCAAAAGTCCTTGATGTAGACTGGACCTTTCAAACATATCTGATATGCTTTTGATCAGGCCCCAAGTGCAGAATGAATGCGTGTTCAATGAGTAGTTTAAAATACTACAAAATGGGTTAAATGAAGCACATCACTACTAGTGAGCTACGGTAGCATAATAAAGTCAACAAACGGTATGTCTATGTTATCGCAAGGGAGTATTTGAAGTTCATGCAACAATACAGAGGTGGCTATTTCAGGTTACTACTGTTTCCTGTGAGCACAGGAGCTCCCTGCCCCCCGATGTCCATCGCCGATCGCAGACTGGCCAGATGCTGGGCGATGGCCCACTGGGGTTTGATTACAGTAGGCCAAGGTGACGTGGGCTGTTCAATCACAGTCACTTTCTCACTAGAAGGGAAGACTGTGCATGTCACCAACGCTACATGGTACAGTTACACTTGCTGCAAACTGCAAAATCACATTTAAAAGTTAGAGAAGCCAAAATTTCTATTCGTTAGTCAGAAACGTGACAATTGAAGCTATAGTCTAATACAGCTCAAGTAGTTCACCTTCAGATGAGATCATCACCTTGTTTATTTCTATATCAATACCACTTTCCTCCTTCACAGCATTCCAGTATGGCCTTTACCGAGTTTCACAGGCATTTACCAATGGCAGATAGTTCATCAGCAAGTAAGCAACTTGTGCAGACTCCACCCGTGCAGACCAAAATCACCCTGCACCCAGCTTTTGTCACTGAATGGGTGCAGAATTAGGCCCTAACTGTAAAGATCAGATCCTGCTTTCTACCAGAAGATCATTCAAACAACAATCTCAGTGTTTTGATATATATAACATTACATTGTTTTCAATATTATATGTCTTTTGGCAACACTGACGTTTTGATGTAAGACTGTATCATGGTAAAACTGTCTTCCAGCATCACACTAATTGCTTAACATTACAGAAATAAGAGATAGTAAGACACTCCCTGTCCAGCCCAGAAAACACAATCGGAGGTACCGTTCAGTGCCAGAACATAGAAGATTATCTACTAAAATGTGACATTTCATGACAGATGTAATTGCTTCAATGATGACTATTTCCCAACACAACTAACCTGCAAGGAGAAACTCACATTAGTGAAATAAGGCTTTCTACTTTAATCTTTTAAAACTTTTCGTCTCTTTCACTGTCATTTTTTACTCTGAGAGGTCAGGTCTCGGAAGAAAAAGTAAAATAGACTGAATTGTTAACAACTAACACATCTTTCTATTTTCTTGATAAAATATCACTCAGAAGGTTGGAATAAGTAAAAATGTATTGCCTCTTGGAGGTTCAAATGCTCTTAAGTTCTCGTAAAGTTGTTAAAAGTGCTGAGCACTTGCCCACTACAAGAGATCTATATGGAGTTTATGCTATTACCAATGAGCAAGAGACTCTACATACACCTGTAAGTATATTTTCTAAGCAACATATTCAGCTCCAAATACAGTACCAACTTAGCAACGTACTCCCATGCTTTTTAGTGATAAGGAGTCAGCAATCATCTTCATTATGCTAAAAGATACAGAATGATTCATTTGATTCTCTTTCATCATGGCTAGGAAGAAACAGCTTTTTTTTCATGACTAGAATATAGGCAGGGAAGAATCTGACATTGGTTGTAGTGGCAAAAGCATAGGTGTCACTATAGTGAAAAAAAAAAACCTCTGCTGCCAATCTCACAATATACCCATTTCATCACGCTGACGACAGAACAATTCTTATTGCATCTTTACACTTTTGGCTACTGCAAGATGTTCTGATCTCCTGGGAGCAATTCAGATGTCAAAACATGGGTGCCTACACACCCCATGGTATCTGTGACATCCATGATGGGTTGGCACTTACGTGAGAGGGTCTATGGTGACTCATGCCTTTGTTTTCACAGCAGCTGGAGGCTGAGAGATCTAAAATGGCACTAGATACCCAGTCACAGGTCACTCCCTTCTGTATTTAAAATGTCCATATTTTGCGACTAGGCAGAAAACAGTGGAGCTTGCTTTCTCCTAGGGTATTTAAACATCTCATACAGCCTATTACAAAATGGCTTATCAATCTGAGGTAGACTAATAAACCATTTCAGACGAGACAGTCTTCAGGAAATTGCTGGAGAACTGTCGTAAGATTAGAACCAACAAAAGGAGAAAGTAACAGAAAAACAGTGGCCTGAAGCTGCTAGCTAGAAAAATAACCAGAGCGAGGAGTCCTTATTGCCTTCACATCTTCCAAGGTACTCAAGAAATCTCTGGCAAATCAGGATGGGGAACAAAGGTAGATTAGAAATAATGAATTTTAGAACTGGCTAACAAACTGGTATCCTCTGGAGCTTGTACCTCTCTCCCTTTGACTGGAGGATCAAGACTTCAGCTAAGTCTTCAGCACCAATCCAACTGTAACAATATAGGCACTATAGGTCACTGATGGCACCCCCCTTCCCTTCCTTGTCCTCCCAACCTCCCCACATTTTTCCTAGCTCTTTTTGCTTTTCTTTATAAGTCTCAATTTCATAAATCTTTCTTTGGACAATGGGAAAGGGAACATGGGTTAGTAAATTAGAAATGTGTTATTTTATATGTAAAGCTGGGGAATAGTTTTCCCCTCCTTTGTAGATCAGCAATAAAAGATAAACATCATTGCTGCTCAACTACCAGTCAGGTGAAAGGTTCTGTACTAAAAACACTTTCATCCTGACTGTTACTTTCTGTTTACTGCAAAACAAGAAACGTGTTTCCTAGGCCTATTTGTTCAACTGAAATTAACCTGGGTCTGCTGGGGGAATTCCTCTGATCTCCACTTCTTACCCTCCATTCTTCAGGCTTGTTCTTCACCATTTTCTTCTCTTTAACCTGTCATGCACGCTCTTCTCCTTACACAGACTTCAAACATGCAGCACGGTGCTAGTCCATTCTGCTGCCATTACAGCAAGAATAAAAGCTTCGAACAAGAGCTTTGCACAGTGTTTTTGTCAGTAAATAAAACACACCTAAATGGTGCAGCTCCTTTGAAAGCCTCGTAGTCATTCATCCCTAGGCAGTTGCCATTTTTCAGTATGTGTTTTCAAGAATAGGAGGCACTTACTATTGATGATTTTATCCAATTCATAAGGCACTGTTTTGGAGCTCCTGTTTTTCCAGCATGTACATGTTGCAAGCTACAACTATTTATACTAGGTAAGGATCTGATCTATAAAAGATGCAACTGCAGCTTCTTCATGGTTAGCCAACAGACCATTTCCCCTTCCTAGAAAGGAAAAATCTCTTTCTGGCTCATTTAAGGTAGAGACTGAGATTTGCTCTATATGAATATTTATATTATTTAAAAAACAACAGGCAAGTATGACAAATAAGTTACAAAATGTGCTTGTTTAAACAATGTGTCTCACGGAATATCAGAGAACATATTTGGTAATATGAGTAGGAAGTTTTTCCCCTAAGACACAGAGTATGCTCTATGAGAGTGCTGTGCACTGATCACATAACAGAGACAGAATAAGAAGATGGTATGAAATGGAAGGTAACATCACCAATTTTCTTTTAAAAGTAAGGTATTAGAATATATGCATAAGTATTCTTTATGTTGCATTTACAAAGTTGAAGGAAACTACATCAATAGCAGAATGCTATGCATGTTTAGGT